ATCCTGCAAATCTTTACATTAAGAACTTGGACCCCTCAGTCATCTCTACTGGAGAAGACCTTAAAAAGTTGTTTGAACCTTTTGGAACCGTATCATCTTTCGTTCTCGCAACTTACCCGAACACGTCAATCTCACGTGGCTACGGATTTGTAGCATTCCTTAAGCCAGAAGATGCCAGCACAGCAAAGGCCAAGTTGGACAGAAGCATCGTTGGAAGCAGAAGAGTTTTTGTGACTTGGGCCGAGACAAAGGAGGTCCGTACGAAGAGATTGAAAGATCTCTTCAACGGGAACGGAGGGGCGAATGAAAAGGAAAACACTGCTGATAAGACCGAAAAAGCTCGCCTGGAAGACGAAAGTTTAACGCCTACTCAATCCGAGAAACAAAACCAGAGCGAGATTACCGGGGAGTCTGTGGATACCAGTACCAAAATCCCACCGAGCCAATCGAAAGAAGACGTGAGAGAGCCTGGGGCTGCTGGGAAGAATACCGAAAAAACTTCCGGGAATGACGTTCCTCTTGTCGTTGCAGAACAGGAGATCGCCGTCACAAATAGATGGCGTGGAACTCAGTTGACTGGGAGTAAGTTGCATTGTTGTAAGATTTTATATACTAGCAGGTCTAACATATGATTATCTAGTTGCCGAAGTTGTCGAAGACGAGGAAATCTCCCGAACTGTGATTCAACGTGTCGACCCTGGGCCATCATCTGGCTCGTCTTACAAGGCGCCATGTATTGTCCGTAGTCCTGAATTTGGCAGATTTGATAACCCACCCGTGTCAACTCAGGAACCTACGAGTCAGCCAAGTGCTACGGAACAACCAAAGGTATTAAGAATTTCCCAGAAGAATGCCCCCGTAAAAGTCATACCTCCAGTTAAAATGTCTCAATGCTAATTAATGTATTTCACAGTCCGAAAAATCGAACCAACAATTTTCAGGCGATTTGACGGGCGAGCTCTCCGTGGAACATGGAAACTCTGCTCAGGTCCAGAACCAAAGCCAGACACAAAACCACAAAAACGGGAACGCCAATAGTCGTGATATTCACCGGAATAACAATAATCATGGCGGTAATGCGGGGTCTAGACTCCCAGTGCCTAGGCACGCAAATGGAAATCCTCCACCACAAGGGTATACAAAAACTGGCACCCGTATCCCGTACTCAAATAATGGAAACTCACAGCAGCAGTTTTATCCAACTTTCCCTAATAACGAGCCTCTTGGCCAGCAGGGCTCGGGAAGGAAGAAGAATTGGAAGAATTCTGGAGGTCGCCGTGCTAGGGATAGCATTTCTGCTACTCATCAGCAGGGTGTGCCGAGCCAACAACCGACCGAGGGAATACCGAACAGAGCGGAGATAGGTGTGACTGCATCTTGACAGACGGTTCACGAATTGTTTTAAACGAAAACGTAGAAAAAAGACGAGGGCGATGCGGATGAGATAGAAATCCATATCTGGCTCATATCGAAGACAGGCAATTTGCCACATGAGAGGTTGCATGAGAGTTTGGGGGCGTATTGGGTCGTATCGTTTGCTAAACTTCTTTTCCTAGGGTCTATCTTTTGGTGCGGATATTTGTTGGCTGCACTTGTGATAGATAGTTTTGTACAATATTCCACATCTTATATGTGGCAGCTACACGAAACAGTGAATTCTATCAACGGATAGTGTGTTGGAGGAAACTTTTGCTTTATTTACTTATTTTTACCTGGACTTGTATGCTGGGAAACTCACTTGATAGTTAAATGGCCGTGGGGTATGGCGGCCTGGGCACAGCCCAGCTAAAACAAATAAAAATATTTACGTTGCTTGAAATACTTATAAGTGGTCTCTTGGTACGATTGCGCTCCTATATGCTTCGTGACCCACATAAATTCCTCTCGCCATACTTCTTATGCTCAAAGGAGCCCTTGCCACTAGCATCAAACCAGGAGCAGTGGCAATGATGGGGTAATGATGGGGTAATGATCACCCCACAAGTTTTTATTGATTACATGTAATTACCCTGCCGACTGGGGTTACGAAACATGTCAATGATCAGAAAGTAACCGAGTGACACATGAAATTTACAACTTATTCCTACGTCAATCGATTACATAATATATTCATCGAGACCGTATACAACAATTAGCATGAACTACTGATAATGTACTGCATTTTTTATGTGAGAATATGTTGGAATATTCCGAGAGCAATCTGCTTTGTGTGTCCATTTCAGGAACTCGCTGTAATGGCTTGGTCATAGAAAATGCACAGATGTAGCCATGTATTATCGGGATTGAAAAATAACTCCTCCCCTTGCTTCTTCATATTATCATCCTACACTTCTTCCCCACTCGATATCGAAGGTCATTTCCGCCCACCAATCACACAACCCGAGTGCGGCCCATGAAGTACATCACAACCTATCACTCGCCCCCAAATTCAGCAAGACTACCAATTAGTTGAATCCAGCAGCAAGACAATCATTACACATCTACAACCAACGCAACCAACAAGAATGCCTGCTGCGATTATATAGCAGTAGTAGTTTAAGCTCTCGCGGCCTCTATTGGAGCTCGTAAGTGCAGTTCCTGGCTGGCTGCAGGGGTGCTCCCTGTAAGGGCAGTATTTTTCATAGGACGGGGGGGCTGTGGGTGGGTACGGCAGAGGGGTAGGGGTTGGGTTGGGGTCTGCTAATATTTGGATGGTGGAAGGTGATGCTGGATTGAGCAGCTCTGTGCGGATGTTTTTTTTTTTTTAATTTTGTTTAGTGCCCTGTCGTTCACGGGGTATTGACGGACTTGATTGATTGATTACTTCATTAAGGTATTCACGGACAGGGGGGCCTTTTGACCAATAGTTGAAGGCAAACTGAGTATAGCTGTCTTGTTTAGTTTATCCGCCAACACCCAGTGTCCGTCAATAGGCACCCCGTGAACGACAGTAGCTATAATTAGGGCGACGGTACCTGCTTTGAACATTGGACCCTTTGGGGCTATTTTCAATTGGCTAACTATTCCTGGAAAACCAACATCTGGGGGATCGTGGGAAGGGAGGAGGGAGCGCGAGCTGGCGTTGTTGGGTTTGTTTCTTACATAACATATCACTCGATCGACCATATTAAGAGCCCGTTGGAACCCTCAAAAGATCATGAGCATCGACCGTATCCGGAAGTCGAATTCTCGAAACGTTGCCTGGCCTGTTTGGTAATCCGTGGTCAGTTGCAGCCTATCAACTCTCGCGCCTGGGTCTCCACACTTCAATCGACCACGGTATTGGTTGCTACGCTCATACATCCATCTACCTGCATATACATAAATACATCGACCTCAGGTACGTGCACGGCTGGATTCGCTTATCGCCATGTTACGTCGGTGGGCCCGTACCGGTAATGATGAGCATTCCTCTAAAGGTCATGTCAGCAGTGGACATACGTGTCACAACACATGTAGATACCTACTAAAGCTACATACGATACCTACACAGTCTCTACTCTACCTAGGTAGGTATGTAGGTAGGTACATGTACTCTAACAGAAACAGCTGTTCTGGCAATTGCATACATCAAGAATGTAGAATACATGGAATTAATATATGTATGTACTTCTGGCAAATCCCGTAAGCCATCGATACTTCCCGTTTTAAACCAGCATTATTGATAACGAATTGAGTATGTCCAGGCCAGTGCACGCCTAAACGCACCTCCAGTCCATAAACAAATTGCCCAGCTACAGTGCAATACCTAGACTCCTAAAGTAGAGTAGGGGTCTATCTCATCACCGCAACAGCGCCACGTGAGGCCTATCCGCGATTCACCTACATATCTCGATTACATACCTATCCAGCCGTTAGCTAGATGTTGCTGCCCAACTACCGTCACCCCCCAGCGAATAAGCCCACAGGCTTAAACCATTGGCCCAAGTCACGGTAACATGCATACACCCACCCTTTCCCTTGACATTCCATTCCACCCACCAGTACTTTACCTACTGACCAAACGGTACTCTACCCTACAGGCTAAGCAACCTCAGACCACCATCTCCACCTCCACAACCTCGGCACGTAACTCTAAATTCTCGCGAGGCCCTCCCCTGTTTGCGATTGGCCAAACAAAACGTCCCGTCCCGGGGTCCCGCGAAGCTTAACATGTTTCAGAACGCCCCGGCCCTCTAAATTTAACCTTCTTGGCCTAGAGTGGATCGAGTGAGTGAGGGTGACAGTGACACTTGTGTTCTGTTGATAGAGTAGAGTGTGTACGTTTGGCTATCCAATCATTGACCTCGCGTGGGGAAGTTGTGGGTTGGCATTAGGTTTTTGAGGCAATTTGGGGTATTGATGGCCATGGACGGAAGTACTCTAATTTTGCTTTTGATTTCACTTTTGCTTTTTGCCTTTGTGCCTTTTCGGATGTCCTGGATAGGGACCTTGGACCCTGAACCCGAGTAAAAGCTCGCTGAATCTGTCTGCAACCGTAGCGTAGCTTGAAACCTAACTAACTACACATTTGGTAGTTGGTAGTATCTAGAGTGCACGACCGGGATAGGCAGCCAAGACTGGAGATTGTTACTATCTTTTTCTTCTTATAGTACTAGCGTAATCGGGGTGCTGATGTGCCCGTTTCTTGTTCTAGCGAGACACTAGTAGCTATGCATAATATTCGTTCCTCCAGCAATTAGGTTTTTCGGCGGGCTGAACTGATAGGACTCTGTATATACCACAGATCACACCCATTGAAGCAAGAGCTATTTTCCATCCAACGCAACACAACACGATGGGTAAATCTACATGTAACCACTCTACTCCCAATAAAAACAATAAATCTCATTTATATCCGTATACATCATTAGACAAAAGGAAAAAAAAAAACATGTAAAGTAGAGAGAGTACAGGCAAAAAAAAGAATAATGCCCAAAATCGATCATTGCACCAAATTTATTTTCCCAGCCGTACCAAAAAGAAGAAAAAAAAGAAAACCGCAAAAGAGAAACCACGAAAAGAAAAACGAAAACAGCCGTCTAACCCCAACCAAACTGCTCGCAGTGAAGAGTAACACTGGGACCAGTAAGGGTGATGCTATCAGCAACGGCATTTCTCGCAACACGCATAAGTTCCGTCGGTCCACAAGCTGTTTGTTTTGTCACACCGCGTCAGTATTTATTCAGTTACCGAAAAATTAAGAATTAAACATAAGGAGGAGAGGAGAGGGGCGGTGTTACCTCCAACAGCAACAGTGTCACGTTGCTCAGCATTCTTCACAATCCCCTTGATCAGCGCCGTCAGGTCGGGCCTGCCGCTCATAGTCTCAATGTACGACATTGGCCGCTGGTCAATCTGCGCCTCGAGATTGGCAGAGTAGCGCTGGGACAGCCGTTTGGAGATGCGCCTGTCACGGACCAGCTCTTCCTGTGTTCCCAGCGTTCCGATTCCAAGCTCCTTCTGCAGCGCTTGAATGTGGTCCCTCCCGAATCCCAGCTCCTTCTCGAGGGCTTCGGCAGTCGGGTCGGAGCTGGTTTCGATGGCGTCCTCGTCGGGGGTACCCGGCTCGGTGTCGTCACCGTCAAGGTCAAGATAGAGGGAGCGTCGGACATCGTTCTCGACCGCTGTCGCTTCTTCGACTGGCTGGCTTGTGACGATGGGGTCCGTCTTGGAACTGACGTAGATGCTAAGGTTGACTATCGGGCACTGTGTGAGTTCTCTGATCTCTTCTTCGTACCACGTCAAGTGACCTATGAAAAGCATGTTAGTACCGGTTGGTGGAAGGGTAGTTGCAGGCGTGTAGATACTTACGTTCATCACGTATCACCCACACAAACTCCATGTGTGTAACCGCGATACGATCGATATTCCGAATGATATCGATCGCGATAGGGAACGAGAACGCGCCACCACTGCCACCGGCAAAAAGAACTACTTTGTTCATTCTCTTGAAGTCGGGCACAGCACCATAAGGCCCATCGATGTAGGCTTTGATCTGCTTGTATGGATTCTTCAATGCATGCTTGTGGAGGTCCAGAGTGAACCCCTTCTGAGCACGAATGACAAACTCAATCCTGTCGGACGAGGATATCGTAAACGGATGCGACTGAAGCTTCCGAATGCTAGGAATTGAGATGAAAGCGTGAGAGCCCGGTTGGCAGTTGATAGGCTTTTCAAAGATAACTTTGGTTGCCAAACCTGCAAGAGGTACCAGGGTAGCTTTGTTGTTGAAGCTGTAGTAGACGAGACGTGCGGTGCGAATGAGCCTATCAAAGCACCAGAAAATGCCGACACCAACCATCGCTTGCCCAAACTTTTGTGGCTTGTGAAGTCCGAGGAAAACCACAGACACGACAAACATGACAACGTGAATCAGGTAGAATGCCTCGTAGAACCGACGGCGAATAATCTGAAGGGAACTCGCATAGATTATGTTGAAAGCCGCAAAAGCGACCCAACCATAAATCATCTGGTCTTGCCTCAATTTTTTGAGGTTATGGCTCATAGTGAGAGTGGCGGTGTAGATACTGCACAACAACGACATCAGCGAATGAAAAGTATTTGCCTGATGGGGCATATCTTACTAGACGTGCAAACAAGAATAAAACCAGATGGTCCGGCCAACCCATCTATGAAGTACGTTCAAGCGCTCATGAGAATACCCAGTCATATATGCAAGGGGCGTATTCTTCATTGACAGGAGGAATGCAAGGGCAGCATTGCATACGGCCAACCTGTCAGAAACAATCAGTCAGTATATATATAATATAATCTTTGCGGATGCATACGTAGGAAACAAACTTACCAGCCACACCTCTTTGCAAAGAGTGAATAAGGACTTGGCCCCTCAAAACCCACGTCGTAAAATGTGATTGCGGCATTAAGCCCGCAGTAAACCAAGATCAGAAGGAGATGTCCTCCGGAGGAAACTTTAGGAAGTTTCCGGAGGAATACCTGCCGGAAAGCCCTATAGATAGATGCTAAATTAGAATTTCCATCATTCAAACAGAATTAAAAAAATTGTGGTACCTACCTGAACGGAGCAGCAAGGCTTTTTGCCAGTGTACCTCGTCTAGTCTGAAGTTGAAATAGAGATCTCCCAAAGTTTGCTAAAACGAAAATAAGGATCAACCCGCCAAAGGCACAAGCATATAACCAAGAAGCCCGTCTGTTCTGGGCCAAAGCCCGCGCAGAAGCCTTGGGGTCGTAACCGGCCATAATGAAAAAAATCAAAAGAGGGAATTCTGGTCCGGCCGTGGTTATGGAAGTATGAATAATTGAGCGAGATAACGATCCTTATAAAGTTACAAGTTATCCCCATGCACTTCAGCTCGTCGACTCTCTACAGATAAAACTATAGGTTCGGGAAGAGCCACGGATTGCGCGGAGTTCTAGCCCGCTGCTAAGAGGATGTGACCTTCGAAAGAGGGCTGATATTGTCTTGAAAGACGTCAATTTGGATACTGGAGCCAAAAACCCATGAAAAGTACCCCCCTGTCTCATCTGTATTTGTTAGCTTTGCAGGTCACTAGAGGATATTCGATTACTTACCTAAAAATACAACCTTTCCAGTCAAATTCGATAGAGATAGACATAGCAAGCGTTGAAACCGCAAGGAATCAATGACAGAGAGTAGCCCATTGACTGCGTTTCGGCTGCACGGGGCCCACCATTGTTCGCTCATCATTCATGATGGTGCATGCAGCCTAGAATTGATAGGTTCGACTCTTTGCCGAATTAATTGACCAAGTGTTTTTTTCGTCAGCCGGCAATAGAGTGCTATCTAAGGCTCGTGATTGTCCCGCTTGTTGCGGAATGCTTCGTTTGATATCGCCCAAGAATATTCCCTGGCGGGACAGCGGAGCGACGGCGCAAAACCCGAAGGATGGCCCTCTTCCTCTCTCATTGCAACTTCTCTTCCCATCAGATGTATTCCGTGGAAAATTCCACGACTTGGGATTTTGCGGCTGGATGCACGATTCGATCGAGAAACCGGTTACTTCAGGTACAAAAACGTGCTGTGCGGAGAAGCTTGTCAAACCGCGTTTGCTAGCTTGACGTATACACATAACCAGGCCATCGACTGTTCCTCTCCCTCCCCCTCCATCCCTCCCACCACCCCTCCTCCCCCGTGCTTCTGGGCCACTCAGAGAATGACAACAAAACGATTCTTGACAGCCGAGCCGAAACTCTGCAGACGCGAAGGTCCATAGCATCAGTGCATGTGCGATATCCCGGAAGCGATTTCAATGCCGGTCCTGTGCTGTGGGTGTTATCGCAATCCTCCTGAGTGTACGTACTTGTTGCAGCTCGATAGGGCTCATACTCTATTGCGTCAAAAAAAAAAAGAAAGAAAAATCGTGGGAAAAGCCCAACGCATGGAATATGTCCCAAGATGGTGTCGAAATGTCTTCTCTGTCGACTGCATTGAGACAGATAAGTGCAGCCTTCAGCTCTTGATAGAGCCCTAACAGGCCTTGTCGATGGCCGGGCTGGCGATCAGGAACCGCCCGTCCCTTACGTGTCATAGTCGTTCGTGTTCCTGGATCCCACCAAAGTGGAACTTGCTATGCCCACCTTGGTTGGTGGCGCCGAGTAAACACCAATCACCGAAACCTCATGTCCCCAAAATGTAAACTTGGAGTGTTGAAGAAGTATCTGACCCTTGTTCAGCTTCTTCTTCTTTTGGAGTGCTGTCTTCTTTTTGCATCGAGATCATCAAGAGGACGCGGATACCTTTACCGGACCTTAGAGTACGCGACCATCCATCCACACATCCCAGGCCGATAGATAGATATTCCAAAATTCTAAGCACGATTGAGTCGGTTTACTGCACGCCTGGGGAAATTTTTTGGTCTAACCCGGCCACTTGTTCTTGGCTTATCTCTAGAGTATGGACCATCGAGTAACAAGTCATGAGACACTGTAGGTACAATTTTCCGTCGGTTATATAATCTATTGATAGATAGATCCAAATCGGGAGGTCTCGTAATAAAGAATGAGCTTAAATGACCGAATTCGTAACCATACCGATGTTGGATGTGTCTCATTATCTAATCGTGTCCCCACGCCCCGGAGAATTTGAGACAACGTTGTCTGGGGAACCAACAATAAAACAAATTAAGCTTTTTATTTTCTCCGTAATACATACATGATGTTAGTGATGACACTTGCCAGAAATTTAACTAGAGTACGGGCCGATTTCTTTGCCTACCTTGCATGAAATATCGCGATCCTTATTACAATATCATAAGACTTGGAGTCGGTCGTACAGGTGTAGTACTCGGTTTCCCGGCCCCCTAAATTCAAGGTTGTTTGATTCCCCGCAATAATTAATGGACTGCGAAAAGGCTTCGATTCGGCCCTGAAGTCCGATTAGATAGACAGGTTTTCGAATCTGACATCAATTAACATGATCAATTTATAAAATACCATGAAGGATAGCATATTGCGTGGTAACATGATCATTACGGCAACTTATTTCCGCAATTAAATAGTGACCTGTTATGTTATATGCCTAAGCCTGCAATTGAGATAGGCAACTGCCTTATTCCAGAAGAACAACACCCATCTAGACTTTCGAGGGCCCTTTTTAAAAAAAAATGAATTTCTGCAACACGTTCAACCCCACGTGTGATGTGAACCTTGGAGGTGTCATAAGGTCTGGGATTGACGGTTATCGGTCTGTAGTCTCATCACCTTGATTAATATCGCCGATATTTCGCACGTCTACCCGTCGATCCATATGTCGAATATCTTTCCGACCAGCACCGGAGGATATTTTAAAGTATTCCACATGCATGGTTATTATGATGGTGCTACCGTAGAGATGGATATCGGGTCATCTCTCCGCATCTGATATCGTCGGCTGATGCGAGTAAGGCAACCTTCCGGAATAGCGGAACGAGCAGTCATAATAGCGGAATTAAGGAACGATTAAAAATAAATTTCCGGTAGTGGCGTCTATCTCGATAATCTAAGTTCAAGTGACGATAGTAGTAGTAGTAGGAATCAGATTAAAAAGAGAATAGGTTTGTGCGATACATCGTTATTCCAGAATGGCAAATAGAGAAAGAAGAAAGAAATAAACCATAAAGTGATAAGTTGAGGACTGCAGGTGGAAATTTTAGGTTAATAGTATGCTATCAGGTAAGCTATAAAGCTGGCAGGTGGGCACCTAGAGAGGGCGAAGATTTTGAGGAGGGGGGATTCAGGACCCGAGCTCGCCCTATATATTCTTATATAAAAGTTCAAATATGATTATTTCGTTGCATTAGGTACTGTTCGCCATTGGTAAACACTCCAGTAGATTGTTAATTCCGCTTGTTCGAGACCTTTGTACTCCTACTTTCCCAGGCCCTGGGATAAGTGAATCGGTCTGTGTCTTTAGGCCTCTCTACACACGGGTTCGGGAGTTGCTCCGGCCGCCTAGTCTTAGAATAGCCTGAAATAAAGCTGGTAGAGCACTAAGCTTGGCAAGTAGTGTGGTCTAGAGGCTGCTCGAGGCGAGCAGAGACAGGTGTCTTGAGGTTCCTCTACCTCGTGTGGTCCATACCTTTGCTTGCTCGTGAAAATAGGTGATGCCTTGAGGTGCTCGAGCTAACTCGAGTAGATAATTACTATATTTAGATTCGTCAAAGTCATATTTTATTGCAATACTGGTATGAAAAATGTAGGGAATACTTCCAGTGTCCCCATCGGAAAAATCAAATCCACTGAATTATATGCCACTCATACCTGATTACCTAAACCTCGAGGCGAGCAAGAAGATTTACTTCGAGCATGCTCGCCTCGAGCATTAATGCCTCATGGACCACACTATTGGCAAGTAGCTAGGCACTAATGCTGAGTCGGTCCTCATAGAAATCTCTGCTTCATTACCAAATTGAACATGACCGGATTTCTGCTCCAAAGATTAGCGAACAGATCTTGGCAAGCGTGCTATAACGAATAGTAGTATATCATTGATTCAACATACCAAATATTGCAAATCTCAATGCCGTTATATAAAAGGACATATGAGGATTTCAGCTCTAGAGTGAAAGCGCGTGCCAAGATGGGTGGTTCATGATAAGGCACAAAGAGTTAGATAATGTCACTTTTGTATACTTGCAGAATAGCCTTATTTGAGTTTAGCTAACGTCTCTTAGAGACGACAACAGAATCGATTGACTAGCATGTATTATCTTAAAACGAATCAACCATCATTTTTTCCAATATAGAGATACACTGCTTCAACTCAGCCAGGAACTCTGGTACGTATATATCAATCCCTTCGAGCAATCCTCCTGCACCACTTTTTGAAGTCCTTAAACTTCCTGGGAAGCCAGTCCCTACGTCGTACGCGTGGTTCTGTCTCAGGCATATCCAACACCTCCTGCGGAATTGGCCTGCCCAGGGATATATAATGTCGGACTAGTTGCGACCTAGTTCGGTGTATATTTGATGCATTCGATACATTCGGTTGAGTCAGTGGGTTACCACTTGTAGAGCTCTGTCGAGCTGTTTGGGAACTGTGAAAGCTCGGCCCGGGCGTTGAGGTCCCGCTCCCAATGTTTGAGGCTAGAGTGCCGCCGTTTCTAGGGCTTTGTGAGGATCCTGCTAGTGTTGTGCCGCTCACAGCGCTTTGTCCCGTATGTGTGCTAGCATCTCCCAGAGGAGATGGCCCCAGAGGATTGGGCCTCAGAGGAAATATTGGAGAAATAGAGCTTGTAGAGTTGCTCCGTCCCTCGCTCACGTTCGTATCTAGATCAGTCCGTCCCTCGCTCGCGTTCGGAGCTAGATCAGTCTGTCTCTCGCTCACGTCCGGATCTAGAGCAGTAAGAGAAAACCCCGGGTGCTCACGAGGCCGAGAGCTCTGTCCCGGAGGGCGTGGACTAGACACTAGAGGTCGATCGGGCCTATCAGGGTCAAGTAGTGGAGGGGTAATTGTTCCAGCAGGCTCCAAGATCTCGGACTCTGGAGGGCCATACCATCTGTTTGGGTCTATGATAACATTTCCTAGTTGAGTCCGCCTCACAGGAAGAGGAGCCGGAGCTTTCTTTGTGATTACCTTTTCCGGAGAATTGGGCCTCGGTGGTTTCCTTGGGGGATCGGCCATCTCGTTGGTTTGCTATCTGGTAGACGTGATCACGGATATGTGTGTTAGTTATTGACAATGCTCGTGAATGTGTGGACCACAGATGGGGTGTTACCTGCTGCTGCCGGTGATTGATTGATGGGAGTAAGAATGTGTGTGTGATACTCAGACAGGGCGATAAACGAGTGGCATGTTGATTGGCGGAGGAGAGGCGTTTGAAGGCCGTTTTAAAGGCGGATAAAGATAACAGGTAGGGAGTGGACATGTTGAAGTTTGGTTGAGGCGATGTGGTTGTGGACAGAGTTGACGAGATACATGTATGGATATACACATTGCTGGTTCACTTTCTGTCATATCTGTAGCTCCAAAGCTCGGTCTGTATACATACATACAATGCTTGATGAAACAGATAGGCACCGTGGCAGTCTGCAATCTCGACTCAGGCAGTGGCATTCTGGCCAGAAGAACTGCCATTATCCCATCTGTCCTTGTGTACTCATGGCTGGCTAGCTAGCTAGCAGGCGTCGATTCTGCGGCCGTCGACGTTTCCCTCGGAGCTATCCTGGTGGTCTGTTTCGAATCAAAGTCTAGAAGCTACAATTAAAGAAACATTAACGTTCATAAATCCACAGACACCCGCGCAGGCTTGGGTTCTCACCTTTTATATAACCCTCTTTTCAATAACAACGACCACGACCGGTCGTGGTAGCGCAGTATGTAGTGACGTTACCAAATCGCTTGAAGTACATATCCACACTTCCAAGAGTATGTCTGTATCAAGGACTTACTTAACACTCAGGCTGCCAGTGCTATGCTATGGATACTTATGTATACCCCGGGAACAGAGTAAAAAAAACAGAGGACCACCACTGCACGTGCCTCCTTCTGCACCCACAGTTACCAATAGCAAGAACCACAGAGCCCCGCCCACAAACCCAAACCCAAACCCAAACCCAAACCCAAACCCACCCCACGAGTGACTCTCCATGACTCTTCCTCTCCTCTTCCTTGATCAGCCCAGTCAGTCAGCTCAGATCAGCTCAGTCGATCCCCTTCCCTTCCCTCCCGCCCGACCCGGCGCACACCGCAACCCACCGATGTCCCGACCATGCCCTACCACAAATTTACTTTACCCCTAACTAACCATCAACCGTCAACCCCCGACCGCCGACCGCCGACCTCCTTTCTGTCCCTCAATCCAGCCACGACCCAGAATTAGAGTTCTTCCTCCGCGGCTACCAAGCGCGCTGACGTCAATCCCAACCATCTGCAGAGCCCGCAGAAGAGAAGAAAGAAATATAAAATAAAATAAAAAGGATTTCTTTCTTTCTGGAAGTTCTGGAAGTTCTGGGTGCTGCACGGGCCAACTGGATACCTTAATTCCAAACCCACATGCTTCTTCTGGCTCCTACATAACGTTCGCTTGCCTGCCTGCTTGCACACACGCGATCGAGTTCCTAGCTAGGTAGACGTTATGCCACGGAGAAGGGGTGGATAACGACTACCACCACCACCACGACGCTGACTACCTACCTACTCTCTCCAACTACCACAACTCCCACGATCCCAATGAAAATAACAATCAAACAGTTTACTCTCTACTCGCAAAGCGCAAGCGAAGGGGGAAAATAAAGGCGTTTATGACACGCCCCAAGATCGGACCAATGTCTGCACCGCCTCACATACAGCACAGCAACCAAACCACCATGATGCCATGGATGCTCGGCGCTCGCAGCTAGTAGCCGTAGCCCGTAGCCGTAAGTACCCCAAAAACAAAAGAGAAGTTTAAATTGTTGAGTTGAGGCACCTGCCGATCACTCGTAACAACGACAACCACCAAGCAAAGCATGTGATGGATTCCTACACTACATACACAGTAACGAACAAGTGCAAACACAAAACACCAACCCTGAGTACTGAGTCTCGGTTACATCTCTACCTCTCTACCTCTCTACCTCTCTCTCTCTCTCCCTCCAGAAAAAAAAAAAAAAGATAACTCACAATTGCTCCCCTCAACGTGTTTCCACATCTAGTGCACTCCCCCCACCCACGAGCCAATCGGCGCATTGCCACAGGCCGCGGTTAAAAGCGCCCATAACAGGGCGGATTAACCGATTCGCACGTGTCGAGCGATCACATGTCACAGCGCCTGACTGGGGGTAGAAGGGGGGGGGAGGGGGGTGTTTTCTGCACATGCAAAAACAGAACAGCCATTGATTGATTCTGGGGGTGAAAGGAAAGGCAGGAGTGCATAATGACATATTCCGGGGAGGAGGGGGTGTAATTTATGGGGATGGGGTAGAGTAGAGTAGGTAGGTGTAGGTAGGGTACTCTACTTACGCAGGATCGAGCAGCAGGCAGGCAGGCAGGCAGGCAGGTAGGCAGGCAGGCAGGTAGGCAAGCAGGTGAGATGTGAATAGTTGAACCATTGATTGCAGACTCGATCGTAGAGCAGTTGTTACCAAAGTAGAGTTACTCTAGATGCCTACCAGAAAAGACGGTGCATACGGTTAGATAGAGTACCTACATCAATCCATCCATCCATCAATCCATCCATCTACTCTAGGTATCCTGCCTGAACTGCAGCCAGACAGCATGTGTTCAATGCGTGCGTGGTGGGGTAAGACGGAACCCTGGATGACGATGCTGCTTGAAGAAGCATCAATCGCCCTCCGATCTCATCAATTCGGAGTGTTGGGGGTTGGGTTGGGGAAAGGAAGCCTTTTTTGATGAACCCTGAGGAGGAGGAGAAGTAGTATGAGCATGAATGAGCAGGAGGAGGAGGAGGAGTAGGAGTAATTTGCGTATCCCGGGAATCATCAGATATTCCCACACACTCGACTCACTCTCGCTCACTCACTCACTCACTCACTCACTCACTCACTCGCTCACTCCTCTCTCTCACTCGCTCGCTCACATTCTCTCTATTCTTACTCTTACTCTTCTTCTTCTTCTCCTTCGGCTTACTCTCTTGCTCTCTTACACTTCTTCAACATCTTCATCATATTCTTCAGCTTCTTCTTCTTTCTTACCCCATACCATACCATACCCATCTGCCTGCAGCACCCCCCATAACTCCCTTCTTGTTCTTGTTCTTGTTCTTCTTCTCTTCTTCTTCGTCTCCATCTTCAGTTCTTACCCACCATCTTCAGTTCTTACCCACCATCTATCTATATTTCCTTCCTCATTTCATTTCATTCCATTTCTAGATACCTCCCCTACTTTACCTATCCACTACCAACTAACTAGGTACCCACTGCTCCTCTCACCCTTTTTCCTGTGACGCCAACCCATCATAACTAACTCACTAACCAGCCAACCAGCCAGCTAGTTAGCGGACGCCTCTAACTCTCCTCTCTAAAAGAAACTTAATTCCTCCGCTTCGCCTTTTTCCGTATTAAATTATTTCCTGACTACAAAACCAAAAACATTTTCCCCCACCAACCTTTTTTCTTTTCTTTCTCCTGTTCTTTTTCTTAAGTTCTTCTCTACATCTACTTCTCCTTCTAAAAAAAACAAACACATAAAACAAAACCACCCAATAAAAAAAACACGCGCCATCCTTGCTTGACACCCACTCACTCACTGCACTCACTCGCCTCACTCACTGCACTGCAGCAGGCCCCGTAAATACATCCATCCTCACCACACACACACACACACACACACTCACACACACCCACCTCACCCACACCCACCCACCCGCGCACTCGCACAAGCAGCACCGCAGCACCGCAGCACAACAGCAGCAGCAGTAGCAGGCCTCAAATATGGCCACCCGCACCCGCTTCAAGTCGCCCTCCCCCGTCCCCTCACACCCGCACACCCCCAAAAGCACGCACCTCCACGACCCCACCGACGCGCTCTCCGCCTCCCACTTCCACGCGCAATACCCCCACTTCGCCAGCAGCCCCACCCCGCCGCCTCCTCCGCCGCAGCACCAGCAGCAGCAGTACTACGACCCGCGCTTCAGCTCCGGGTCGCGCCACCCGCCCAAGAAGCACGCCGACCTGCCCATCCTCAGCTACCACAACGCCGTGCCCGAGCCGTACCGCACGCAGGCGCCCGTCGGCGAGCCCGTGCCTGTCGTGCTGCCGCCCGTCAACGTCAACCTCAACGTCGCCCCGCCTCCACCGCGCTATGTGGCTGCTGCGGCGGCGGCGGCGCCAAAGGCGCCAGAGAAGTCGCGCAGCCTGAGTATACAGAGCTTGATATCTGCGCCGGCGGTGGAGCCGCCGTCGTATGGGAGGTCGTCAGGAGGGGGAGTGGGTGTAAGTACGGGCACGGCTGAGGAGCAGCACACGCGCAAAAGGAAGGGGAGCGATGACGCGGGGGATAGGGATAGTGCTCGTGGCACCCGGCATGGCAGTCTTGTGCCCACGTCTGTGAGCATCGAGGACCCGGATGTGCGGGAGGTTGTTGAGGCCCTCGGGGGGCTAAAAGGGGGTGAGTACACGCAGTTTTCCTATGCTATTATTGCCTATCATTCACCTGCCCTGCCCTGCCCGTATCGGCATGCTGTCTATCCATCTTCCCCCCACACCCCTAGAAGATAACTCTAACCAGCGCACCCCCCCGCACCACACAGACTTCACGCCCACGCCAGCCTCCCCGCCCCTCGCCCAGGCGCCCGAAAACGAGCCCCTAATCGACCTCATAACACACCGCGCACACCCGCTTCTCTCCTCCGCCATCACAACCTCCATCAACACCTACGCCGCCAGCAAGTCCTACTCCGCCTCCTTCCGCTACGCCGCCGAGTCCGTCGAGAACCGTGTCGGCCTCCCCGTCTCCAACGTCGTCTCCGCCGTCGGGCGGCGCACCGGCCTCGACGGCGTCCTGCGTCGCGGCCTCCAACGCAGCAGCAGCAGCACCACCCCCACCCCCGCCCCCTCCTCCCCCAGCCCGCGCAGCGACACAAACAAGAAGCGCAAGACGCGCAACGACCCGCACGAGGACTCCACGCCCACCACCGACGACACAAACGGCGCGCTCGTGCAGCAGCACCAATCGCCCGAGTCGCAGACATGGCAGAAGCGCATCGTGCTCGGCGCATCGGGGCTCAGCGTGGCGCTCAACGAGGAGTCGCTCAAGAACCTCAAGTACTGTCTGCAGTGGCTGCGCTTCCTCAACGTGCACCTCAACAAGCTCGTCACGGCGCTGCGCAGCGTCGTCGAGGAGCTCGACAACCACCGGCCCAGCACCGCCACCAGCAGCAGCGCCAATGGCGTCGCCGCCCCCGCATCCACCACGGGCCCGCCGCTCCTCCCACCCATCTATGAGGGCCAGCGCGCAGCGCTCACCGCAAAGGTCGAGGGCCTCAAGGCGGAGGTCGTCAACACCATGAAGAAGGTCGTCGAGGTGGTCAGCAACTACACCGGCAGCGCGCTCCCCGAGAACGCTCGCGACCTCATCAAACGTTTGTCCCCCACCCTTCCACCTCAATTCTCTTTGAACTAACCAAACGACCCTTACCAGGCCACATTTTCTCCCTCCCACAACGCTTCGCCGCCGCCAGCGCCAGCGCCCCCGCCTCCAACTCCAACCAGCTCGTCCCCGGCGCCGCGCCCGCCGAAGAGGACCACAACTCGCCGCGCTCGACCGCGAACCGCGTCATGGTGCTTGCCAAGGAGGGGTTGGACATGATGCAGCAGGTGAGCGAGGTAGTCGAGGGGACCATCACGCGCGCCGAGGAGTGGTGCGAGCGGCTAGGGAAGCGGAAGAAGGAGGATGTGGAGGAGCAGCCGAGCGAGGAGCAGAAGCGGTCCGTCAGCTGGAAGGAGAGATTCGAGGGGCTGGAGGAGCGCCGGGCGGTGAGGGAGGAGAATGAGGGCGATGGGGATGTTAGGATGCAGGATAGTGGGAGGTAGAGCGGGAAAGGGAAAGAGAGAGGGGAAAGGGGAAGGGGGCGAAAGGAGTTTTTTGTGTTTTTTTGTTTATTTCTTGTCACATTCTTACACCCTTTAGCTATACTTATTGAAAAATTGGAAAAGGCGGGGAGGAAAAAGAGAGTGAGAGGGACCCTTGGAGGGTTTTTTGTTAGGTTTGCATTTTTTTTTTTTTTTTTTTTTTTCGTTTTCTTTCCATCATCCTTTCTTTTTCTTTTTTTTCAATTTTCTTTTTTCTTTTCTCTTTTTTTCCACTGGAGCTGGGCTTGGTTGTTGGTTTTGTCTGTATCTGGTTGTTGTTTTTTCTGTTAGGGCGCGTCTTTATTTTTTACTTTTTGGTTCGTATGTAGTGATTGACGGTAGTGTATGGTGTTTGGTGCATTGAGGAAAGGAGGGTTTGGGGGGGGGGGGGGGGGAGAGGGGAGCGCAGAGGAGATGACGGGCCGGGCAGGGTCTTTAAAAGCACCCGCCGTCGAGAAGCTGTCGGGATCAGACCAGAGAGGGGGGGGGGGGGTGTACAGAGGTTAATAGCAGACACCCGATACATACGGTTGGGGGGTTTGGGTCGGGCTAGGATTTGGTTGGGGGGTTTTGGACTGACTGGTTGGTTAATTACTCGGAGTTCAGCTCCAGCGAGCGAGAGTGAGTGAGTGAGCGAATATTAATCGGTTCAGCAACACACCCCCGGCGCGCGGCGTTTAACTGTGGGCGAGTGAGATTTCGTGATGACTCTGGAACTTGTCAGTGATTAAGTGATCCCTCCCTACATACCTAGCACACAAATGGAAAGATGAAGCAGCAGCTTTGACTTCGATCATGAGTCGGGGGTTGGTTTTATTTCATAAACGTCCCCCGCTGTAAAAAAACCTCTAGTGTTTTATGTGCTCATTTTGTGGTTGGACCGCACCAAAGCTGAAAACGCCTATTCAGCCCATCGTGTTGAAGGAACCCCATGAACAACCAACCGACCAATCCGCTAGCGTAAATCCCCCATAAGTCCGGTCGGTATCAGAGCGGGTAAACCTTTAAGCCCTTCAGCCCGAGTCCGAACCGGAACCCGAACCCAAGCCTGTGCCGCCATCAACAATTCAAATACACCGTTATTTCCAGCGAACATCAAGCCCATCCGGAGGAAGGTCCAAAGAAAAATGGTGGTATATGTAATATACTTCTCCAATCCACAAACTCTTTTCTATCATTACTTTGCCTCAAGCCCACGGGTTTAGTCGGCAGAAATAGAGTAGCGGTACCTAATAAACAGCACATACCACAAATACGCTTTGCAGCTGTCCCCGCACCCTCTGCGTTGCCGTGCCTCAAAGACCCAACTCTTCCGTGCCAGCCAGTTCTTCAGAGGTAGAGTCGCAGTGATATGGCTTTCTATTCATTGGTGAAATAGTAGGATGCGATTGGCCACTGGTTGGTTGGTTGGTTGGTTGGTTGATTGGTTGATTAATTGATTGATTCATTAAGTATATTCAACTCGGAGGTTATAGGAAGATAAGTGACTTGATTCCTGTCTCGGAAAAGAGTCTGACTAGCTATATATATATAGTATAATTTCCTTATAAGGGTCGGGGTTATAAAGGTATTCTCCTTATAAGGGTACCAAATTCGGTTCCTACGTACCCTGATATGGTAGTCATGAATCGGACAAGTGTCGACATGATAATGACAGCTATTAAAATGACAGTGACAGGTATCGACGTCAAATTTAGTGAAAAGTATCAGCATGACAGATTCAGGAACTTCATCGGTGTGGACTCAGAGATCTTATCCCCTCCGAGTTCGACATCATCTGGGAAGCCGGGTGTCGGACACGAGTGAATCCCAATAATCGAGTGACACACCATGATCCAACCCGAAGAACCGTAACGGGCCGCAACTCACCGCACCTAGCAAAAACGTATCGCACCACCCCATACTGTACCTACACCTCAATCCTCAAGTCACTACCTGAATACCTCCCAGAATAGTCCCATCACCGTAGATTTTTCCATACCTGCGAAACCCCAGAGAGTCTGATACCGAACTTAGAGCCACGCGGTAACATTCAAAGATTGGCACAAGTCAGGTTTCACTGGCCAAGATGTTGCGAGTGTAAGATAACCCGGAGACTAGACAGCTACACTGTTAATACCATATCTCCTATATTATCCCCAACATTGAGCAGCTTTAGCAGTCCCCACAATCTAAGGCGGGTGGGTTTTCGTCGAGTAGATAAATTATTGATAATCATTTCACCGGATACCAGACCGCTAGACCTACCAAGAAAGGGGTATCGATGACTGATATAAGGTTAGACAGATGGTTCTGGGAAGACCTAGACCCATGGTAGGTATGTACTCCCCCGTATGCATCTTTTTCTTAAGTCCTTACTTCGATTTCTTTATGTTGAACATACATGCAATATGCTCTTCATTCCCCGTTCGGCTTCACAACACGAACTTCGAAGCCCTCGTGGCCAAGACCGAGCGTGGCTGTGTATATGAAGCCAGAAAACGGATAAGCATGTCAGATACATATCATTACATATATCCAGATCCAACAACAGTGGTTATTTATCCGGCTTCATCACCTCCCCGTTTCCAGAGCTGGGCAAAGATCATATCGATCATTCTCTGTCACTCGATTGCGACCAAGCCAATATACCTCCTTGCTCCGCCACACCCACGTGGTATGGTTTCACCACCCTACGGCACGCACATAACTCCAAGACGAAACGTGGGAAAACAGCCTACAATATCCCATTGTTGTTCGTCGTGCTCCTTCGATGTACTGGCTTCAGGACCACTAAAGTCTCTCCACAGTAAATAAATATATATATACATGGACCTATTTCGGTTGTACTAAGAGGCTCGGCTTGGCAATGAGCCTTTCCCTGCTGCCGGCAAATTATTCTGACCTTTCATCTGTAGACAAGGCAAGCCTGTCCTGCCACCAGCGGGGGGTCTCCGTCCACATACACAGAAATATATGTGACTGCGAGAATCGACCATAAATCACACGTATATGTGGTGGGCTATTGGGTATACGACGCTTTATCGTAGTCTGCGTCGAGGCTACACCCGAGTGATTACCCATGACCACCAAAGCCTCCTTCGAATGTTCCAAACGCTGGTGGTTTTCGATGTTCGCCGGATTCTACCCGACCGGTGCATGATTGTCTGTCTCACAACGTATGTGTGCAGCACAGTGTTACACAACACCACCATCACACGATGCTTATCAACAACGTTGTGGCACGCAGCAGATTATGCTGGTGGATGCGTTCGTTCTCGTCAAGCATTTAGATAGGCGAAATGCTTGTGGTCATACACAAACATGTCTCGCGATAAAGATTGGCGGGAAATCCTCCGTAACACTATGGGAATCTGCCTCGTCAAATTAAATGCGGGGAGATGTGGTAATCTGCTGCGCCTCTTTTAGATAGATATAAAGACCGACTGTTTCCTTTGACTGGGTATAAACGTTATTTTCGTCTGTTGTCTCTAATAGCAGCATCTGTAAGCATGGAAAGCCCTGCATACTCAGAAAATACCCAAAGCCTGCCCGCCTACGTCGACTCCCCCTTCCTTCCCCCACCAACCGATACCAAGCCCGCACCCCAGAGTGTCTGGATACAAGACTCTGATGTCAGCGGGTTCACCTACCGCCGCCGTTACGTCCTCTCCGCCGACGCTGTCGCTGTTCCACCGCCTCAACCAGTCTTCGATGCCGTCTCGCCTCCCACCTATACTGCGGCGCCGGCGCCCATCTATACCTTAAAAAGCCACGGCCAGCCCTCACCCATCGAGGCCCTTCTTGGTAGCCAGCCCGACTTTACTATCTATATCGGCGAAGGTGACTCTGGCCCTGTAGTCGCAACCGGCATTCTTCACACCTCCCCTCTTAAGAAATCGCTCGGTGAGCTACGATTTTTCCCACGAGTTAGTACTAGCCAACCCGGTGAATCCTCCTCATCGGCATCTAAGGAGATCCCCAGTGTCACCCTGAAGGAAAAGAATGACGGGAAGAAGTACACATTCACTTCTTTTGGCTATGACTTTGAGTGGAATGAGACCGGTCTCGGAGAGCGCCCCCCCACCCCACCTCCGGAAGAAGAGGAAGAAGACAAGTCAAAGTCCACGGGCTTCTTCTCGAAGATGAAGCGCAAGTCCGTGAAGCCAGCACATCCCAAGTACCTCTCACTGCGTGATACAAAGACGTGGGAGTTGACGGCATACGATGCTAAAACGGCTACCACCACCAAGATTGCGACGTACAGGGAGCTCCAGCCGAGTGATAACGCGGTGTATACGTATAGCACAACTGCACCGAAATATAAAGATGGACATACGGCAAAATTGGACGTGCATGAGCCAACATTTGAGGTGCTGGGCGCGGGCGGAAAGGGCGCAAGAGAGTTAGCTGTGGCTTCAATAATGCTGTTGGTAGAGGCACAAAGGAAAAAGATAGTAAACGCACGGAATAGGAACTGGCTTGATGGGCTTGGGTACAACGCCGTTGGCGGTTGTGGAGGAGTGTAAGGTCTGTTTTTGATAAGAGTATTGAAAGCGTAGTTAATGCATTTACTCTGTTAATCTAGTCATATGGTATCACTCGCCAGGTTATTATGTAGTTTAGTAATCTATTAGTTAATACGATTCTCAAGCTGGTCTGTGAGCTCGTTATTAACCAAGCTGGATTGGAACTATTCCCGAGTTGTGCGCCGAGTCTGTAGCCAAGGAAGATCTTCCAACGATGAATAAGATTAGAATCTTACTTCGGGCTTGGGAATAACTAACCTTGTTATGCATGCTGGTGTAGACACTTAGAAGCCAAGTAGATCTAGTATATACATAAGGAAAGCTCATTTATGAGGCGCGAAGAAATTTTGCGTGTTCTAAGAGAGGGAGAGAAGGTTGTAGCGAGATCTGAGTGTGAACGGACAATGAAGCGTTGAAAGCCAAAGACAGATCAATTACCCCTCGCAGACGGCTAAAAAGAAACGAAGGCGGTATTTCGGTTTCTCGGTGTTTATGAATAGGGATGAGGTCTGAGTAAATCTTATCTGGTCTTGCGAATTCGATCAGAAAATTGAAAACTAGGGGCCAAGAACTGGTTTGTCAAGACTTCGAGACTGCCATTAATGTTAATGAGGGCGCGGCATAGACTCTAATGCGGAGAAGTGATGAGGAAATCTGTAGTTAAAACACATCTTCGTTTAGCCAAGGGATCAGTGGGGGTTTTCGATACACTAGAACTCTCAAGACTTGCTTCATCATCATTAGATATGGCCATGAATTGTCTCGCCTTGTTTATCCAGATCATGCTCCAAGTCTCAAGATAGCAGGTATCGTGCTTATTACTAATACCGAAGTATAAGAATGGGCCTAGAGAGGGCCTGAATCCGTAAGTGAACAAACTGCAAAGAAAGATCAATGAGCTAATAATCAAGGAGAATGAGCGGAGAGATGTAAGTGGAATGTATAGTGGATGGGCGGGGAGAACGGGATGGTGGGTTGAGAAGATAGCGAGAGGAAAGCTATAAAGTGAGTGGAGGAGACGGCGAATATAGAGTAACGAGCGAGTAAGATAGACATCAAAGTTCCCGTATGTATAGGAAGGGATTAGCACCGCGCGATTCCACCAATCAACTCAGCCCGCTGCAGCACTAATATAGCTATTTACCTTCACGAGCCCACAGGATATCTCGGGATACATATAGTGATCCTACCCTCTAGATAAGGACATAAAGAATATCACCACCGTGGTGTTAGTGTTAGTTTGAAATGGATGAACGAACTAGGAACATACTGGATTACACCCCGCATGCTTTTCGAGGAAGAGGGATCGTAGTAAGGTCATCGAGTGGACAGCACAAACAACAACAGAGTACACTATCTCCTCCGCATAGTGCTTCCGTAATGTTGTACAGAATGTATAGCTTTGGAAATGGTCACACTTAAGCGTCATTGTTGATAGAGGAAGGGGTTGGGAAAACAGACCGAGATGGAAAAAGAAGAATTATCTTACACATAGGAGCCATTGCCACTATCCAAAGTTTGCCCTCGACCTGTCTACACAACCCCTCCCTCGCGTTTAACACACATGCACCGTGACGCCATGCATCAAGCGGTAGCCGGTCTCGAGTGCCATGCTGCCTCCGACATCGAAACGCACGCACCCGGCCAACGAAAAAGACAAAAAAATATCAAACACTAAAAACATTCCCATGTTATACATTCCATCGTAGTACCCTAAATTCTGAATAGACCAGATAAAAAAAAAGCCCGCATAATACATAGCAACAAAACTCCCCAGTGTAACCGGAAAAAGGTTAATCCGAAATCCCGAGTGACAAGCTGTGGAGTGAATTTCGAAAGTTTTCAAAGCTCATTACCAGCGGAGCCTCGATGGAGGGGTAATTTAAAGAAAACTTCCATCCTCGTGGCGCTGTCGACCCACACATCTCTGCCAACAACAATCACATCCCCCCGAAATAGAGAGATCACTTTCTATACCTCAGCTTCCATTTCGTATCAAAATGTGAAGATGACAAGAGACGGTAAACGTCGTAGTCGTCGTGGCCGGAGAAGCAAGGAGGTGACCCAAAATGTACCAACTAAAGAGAGAGAAGACGTCATGCTGAATGCGCCGGAATGCGTCGAATCCATCCACTCTAGGGTGTGTACTTATCCTTCTGAGCTACTGCATTTCTTTTCGCCTCGTGATGTTTGTTCGATAAGGCCTTCATGAGGTGACTAGCCATGCATGGAAAGTATGTAGTCAACTAACGCACTCCTAGCGCATGGACCAAAACCCTCAGAATGTTGTGCCGTTGAGCCGGGATCCTAAAGTATGGGTGAGTTATTATCGATATATCCTAACTCTTCAGAATACTAATAGCCGAGAAGTTTCCTTTCACGCCATCGCAACAAGGTTTATTACTCCGTGACGGTGGCAGTTCCGCTACGATCACCGACCTAGATTATGGTAGGTTGGTTAGTGATAGGAATCAGTTCTTTGAGCAAGACAACCACACTTCAACTCCTCAGACCGTTGTTGAAGGTGCTAGCCTCCCCGCAAACCGGGCCAAGTATAAACATTAGAGGGAGGGGAGGGAGGGGAAGGAGGGGAGTTCCAACACCATCATACTCAATCAAGAGGCCGGAAAAGAAAAGGTACCAAAGTTATCTTGAAGAGAATGCAACAAACCCGGGACGACGTCCGCAGAAGTAGCAATTTACACCCCACACCACCGCAACCAATAATCATCGGCATCGGGCAAAGCGCGGGGAATTTCCCTCAGATGATGGTAGATATCGAGGTGATTCTGTCAAGTTCCGGGTTCTCAAACGCCGACAAGAACACCATTCGGAGGATTGCGGGCGAGAGAAATCCAGAGGAAGCTATCGAGGAGTATTTAAAAAAGGCTGAACCGGATATTAATCGAGAGGGAGCACAGGAAAACCCAATCTGTCTCACAGATGAAATGGAATGTGACGGGACCGATGGTGATGTGGTTATGAACAATTCTGCAAACGACAGCGATGATATAAGGTACGCCAATGATAACGATCGCGACCTCTTCGGCCACGTTGAAATGAATCGTCACCGCTTTATGTTAGGGCATTTGGATGATAAGGATGGAAAATCAAACCAACCGGTGGACTCTCTTCCAGGAGTTATTGTATCCGAGGGTTCACATGATTTTGACATGGAAGACGGCAGCGTACCTTCTGCACAGAAAACTGTGGGTGCGCAAGGAATGTCCACCAAGAATGAGGATGCATTAAAACTCAACGAATCCCAAAGAAGAATGGATAGACCGACTCTCTGGACCCCCGAGCAAAAGACAAATATAATTCCTCATGGAAGCCGGGATGGAGACTATCAAAGGCGATCTCGTTCAGAGCTTCCTAACGTATGGAGGGCCGTGTCATCTGCCTCGCATAGACATGAACGTAGACATGAACGGCTATTAACTGCCTCCCGAAACCGTGAACGCTCACCGGCCAACCCCAGGCATTTCAACGATAGGAACACCAGGAAAGCCCTTCGTGTGTCAAGATACGAGAACCTAGGGCTTTAAAGGAGGGTTGCAAGTTAAAAGACGGCTAGACTTCGTTATTGCGAATCGATCCGTAAGTTTCTGCTCTCCCGAAACCGTGTATTGCTTAATCTTAACCAAAGGGTGTAGATTATCGAAGGAAACGAATTGTGGCTATAGTATGGTTAAAGCTGGTATAAATAAGCATTGGGATTAACGAGAGGAGATTTTGTAGCTTTCCTCTGATTCTATCATTTTGTCTGGCAAGTCCATTTTTTTTGTAGATCTGGCGATCACCTCTGGCAGCTAGTCGGAGTGCGAATAAACCATGGACAGAAAATTTTCTCGCAAGGGTGGTGATTTTATAAAGATTTATGCAGTAGATGCGCAGTACTGCGATATATTCTTGCCAACTAGATAGTTGTGATGTAATTGTTGGCTTGTGACAAACTGCTTGACATTCTGAGGTGCGGGCCTATAGAGGAAATGCCAAGATATAGAGTACAGCAGCCGCTAGTGTCTCGTGCCCAGACTTTTGCCAACTCGTTCCTCGTTCTGCAAACTTCACGCCACAGGACGGGCACGAGATTAATTAGACTGCTTCTGTCTCCCCAATACAGGCCCGACTTTCCACAAAAGAATTTTCCTCTACAACCATATCTCACCTACGTTTCCCTCCACCAACCCCCCACGGATGTTGTTGCTCTTGGATATAAGGAAGCTTTCCTTCGAGTGTTAGGAGGATTTGAGGATTCTTCTCCAAGAGTATGGCAAAAGAGTTGAATACGATTGAATCTAGCGAGATCTAGCTAGGGAATAGGAGGAGCACGTCAGTTGCAGTCAGTATTGTCAAGAGAAAAACCCTCAATCATATCCAATCACTCGTACTAAGTTAAATATCTCACTAAGCAAATTAAGACACCATTCTTGGCATGTAAGAGAACCGACAGGCCGCGGTTCCAACGCTCACGTCATCTGAAAGTCTTACTTCTTGACCTCCGCGCCTGCAGGGGATGATCTGTTGGCCACGGGGCTTTTCTTACAAATACTCGATCTGCACTTTGATTGTCGCCCGACTACAGGGACCCCCCACACACAGTTTTTCCGGGAGCCAACAAGGTTCTCAGAAGAGAGCATGCCTAGTATCAAACTACCATTCAGGGATACCTTCTGCCTTCTTCAAGTCTCATCATTTTTCACCATTTTGCATTAATCATACACGCACGTGAAAATCCCCGATAGCGGGGTAATTCCATTTCAGTTCTACTTATGACTTTTCAATTCTAATAACATAAAGTTTGAATAGTACATCCATATATAAGTCCAGCTTATGAATTTACGGGAGAACGTATCCACTAACATCACCAAATATATTAGCCCAGTTCACGCAAGTGTAGGAGAATGCGGAGTAAACATACCCATCTACGATGATATCGGTACCAGTAGTATATGTCGCAGCATCAGAGGCGAGATACAAGTAAGCTCCCTTGAGCTCATTGGCGAGACCCTCACGGCTAGGCTATGTTAGCGCATGTCCAAGGGCGCGAAAAATAAAAACAGGGTGAAGCTTACTGGAATGGAATCTTCTCTTTCCAGATCTCCTTGGTCTCTTGGGGGACGAAATCGGAAATCTCAGTCGCAATATAACCGGGGGAGATTGTGTTGACTCTGGCAAAGCCGGCCCATTCAACAGCAAGACCCTTGCCTTTTGGAAATTAGTTTTTTTTTTTTTTTTTTTTTTTACTTCCTCAATCCAAGGGGAACTATGAAATCTTACAAAAGTGAATGACCGCGGCCTTGGCTGCGTTGTAAGTAGTTTGCAGTTGAGGAATGTTGACGATGTGTCCACTCATGGAAGCAGTAGCGATAAATGATCCTGAGCCCTGCTTCTTGAACCACTTTCCGGCTGCCCAAGCGGAATAGTAGACGCTGTCAAGATCAGTGGCAATGACCTTGTGGTAGTGTTCGTGCTATTCTTCCGTAAGTATATTGCTAGTCTCAAATCCACTGAATACTACTTACCCCCTCCGCACCGTTATCGAGAATGGCACCCTTGATCCATGGAATACCGGCATTGGCAACAAAGATATCAAGGCGGCCATTGAACTCCTCAGCAATCAAGTCGGTGTATTTCGCAACTTCGGCTTGGTCGGTGACGTTCACCTGGTAGGCCTTACCTAAATGGGGGTTAGAGCAATGGCGGGGTAGAGCGATAGCGGATAAACGATTGTGCGGTAGCGCTAATGAAGAGCTGGGTGGGGGATAGGGAAGCAGGGAATGCGGAATGATGTTCCGGTAGGGTTCCGTCGTGGGGGAGTCTCAATCGCGAGGAGAGAAGCTTCCACGGGTGATGGCAGTGAAAGAGAGGTAGATAAAAGCGCACCAGGCCGGAGCTTTGGCTGCTTGGATCCATGGATGGAGAATGGATTAAAGGCATGGAGGTATAGGACAAAACAAAATGCTGGTAATGGAGGGAAGAGGAAATAATGGTCCACGTACAGGTAACTCCCCACTTGTCAGCAATCTGCTGCGCTCTCTCAATGGCCTTCTTGTTGCTGTTGTACCAAATAGCCACGTTGGCACCAGCCTCCGCAAGAGCATCAGCAACGGCCAATCCAATTCCAGCACCAGCGCCGGTAACGATAGCTGTTTTGCCCTTCAAAGAGAAGAGAGGGAGGACTGCGTCTCCATCCTTGGGAACGTATTTCTCAACCATTGTAGCTGATTGTAAATGATAAGAGGTAGAGAATTGGTGAGATTTTTGGGTAGATGGATTAATGGAGTACGGGTGATGAGCACAGGAGAGAAGAGGAGCAGAAGAGGGACTCCTCGAAGGTAGATATAGGTTTCTGGCCAGCTGGCCGCCGGCGAGGTATTTACCAGTAGCGCTGCGAGCAATTCGGGATTGATTTTCCCAGGAATTGAAGCTTGGGCGACCAAAACGGTTTAGCAGCTTGAAACTCATATCTTCTTCTCTATTCTGTTCCTGTCTGTGGTGACGATGTACGTATTGATTTCCTAGTGTCCGACGATCTTGATATCTAAAGGGAAAAGGAGGGGCATTGCAGCTGTGGGCGGATAAGTGACAAAGAGGTCCCTTGCGGGCTAGTCATTTACCGGCTAAAGTGCGTTTTAGAGTATGTAAACATGCCGGAGTCTAAACAACCGCCGGGCTTCCGTCCGGTTTATGTCAGTTGTTGGATTGTTACCCGGATACGTCCCGCTTATCCTGCCTGTTAAAGTAAGGCAATGACGAACCTCATGTATGTACGGCACACGACAGGACAGCTTTGACTTAAATTTCAAGTCTCTCTCTACAGCTAGGAAACAGCTACGTTCGATAATGAAATACGAGTGAGTAACCCTGAGATTCCTCCGTTCCGCTCCTATCGCCAGTATGGGAGGCGTCGTATCAACTATCAAACTCCTCATCGCCTTCTCCTGGTCCCTTCGCTCAGCCATTGCTCCTGTTGTGAAACGAATCCAATCCGACCCGGGAAAGCCATGTGAAAATCCAACAGAGTCGTTCTGGCTCCAGGAACCACATCCGGTGGTATCACAGCACCAGTCTGATGAATTACCGTCTGAAGTTGATGTAGTCATCATCGGATCAGGAATTACAGGTACAGCTATCGCGAAGACGCTGCTAGAACCCCCCAACGGGAAGAAAACCGAAAAACCTCTCAGTGTTGCAATGTTGGACGCTCGCGAGGCTTGTTCTGGAGCGACAGGTCGTAATGGTGGCCACATTAAGGAGAGTGCATATAGTGAATACGAGTCTTTGAAGAATAAGCACGGAAAGAAAATGGCCATGGAGATCATCCGTTTCCGTCTTGCACATCTAGACGCATTGATCGCCGTCGCTGAGGCAGAAGGCGAAGAAATGCTCAGACATAGTCAAATCAGGAAGTGTGATACGCTAGATATATGTTTTGAGGAGGAATCCTGGGAGGGTATGAAGTATCAGCTGAGGTTGTTTCTTCGGGATTTTGAAGATCAGCGAGGGTTATGGTTGCTGCACGAGAAATACGAAACAAGAAAGGTGCGTTCTAGAACATCTTCCCTGTCAGGTACTATTCTCCAATTCTGTTTCACGTTCCGAACCCTGGTTTATTTCAACACGACACGCGATACCATAATTATCATTTCCAACTAGTTACAAAAGTTTTGTTTCTTTGCTGGGTTATATGCCGTTGACTTCTCTATATTGGGGTAGGGAGGAATTATTCTTTACCCACACTATATCCTATATTATTATATTTCTCTTGTTGTCATCAAGCGTTAATTAATTACCTTCTTATACCGCCCATACATGCATCATCGTCTCAAAAAACCTTTTATCCTGAAAGAAATTAAGGCCTGGTGGACTAGCTGACCCTCATAAGTTATATCCATTTCCTTCGGCCAGTGGTGCAATATCCTCCCCCGCCGGCGCCCTCTGGCCCTACCGCTTCGTAACCTCTATCCTCAACCGTCTCCTTAAAAGCCACCCCCACTTTTCTCTTGATACCTCTACACCGGTCCTTTCCGTTACCACCTCCGAATCTCACCCTTCCCACTACCTCGTCTCTACTCCCCGCGGAAACATCCTCGCCAAACATGTCGTCCACGCTACAAACGCCCACGCAGCCCATCTACTCCCCGGTCTCCGAGGCCTCGTCTTCCCCGTTCGCGGGCACATGACGGCACAGCGTCCAACCCAGGGCGGCTGTGCATTTGGTGAGCATAAAGACCGCTCCTTCAGCTTTACCTACAACGAGGGGTTCGATTACGCGACACAGGTCCCGCCTCCTGACGGAGAGGGTGACACCATGGTATTGATCGGAGGAGCTCTGTTCCAGACCGGAAATTTCGGCTTTGGCGAGGTCGGGGCCACAGATGAGGATATGAACATCTTCGCGTCTGCCCATCTCGCTGGTATTGTTGGTACTGTCACTGGGAAGCATGGGGCGACAATGACGGAGGGTGCTTGGACTGGTGTTATGGGTTTTACGCCGGATTTGATGGCTTGGGTTGGGCCTGTTCCGGTGTCTATGACGGGAGGACGGGAGAGGCCCGAAGGCGGCAAAGAATGGGTGTCTGCGGGGTATTGCGGGGAGGGGATGGTTAATGCTTGGTTGAGTGGGGTGGCAGTAGGGAGAATGATTAACGGAGAGGACGAGGAAAACGTGGGGTTACCAAAGGTAATGTTATGCACTGAAGAGAGGGCTAGGAAGGCAGATCTGTTGGATCTGGTCAACGAATACCTAGGCTAAGCGGGGGTCGAGTGATCGACTGTGAGTGAGACCTGTGGGTTTCACAAAACCACATCGACATGAGACATGAGACGCGAGTGATGACCCGTGACTTTATTGCACTGTTCCTAGCATAAGTAGAATACCAATTTACTCTATATCGTTTGCCATGTGATTCCGACCGACAGAAAAACTACCGACGAGCTCCACGATCGAGATTCTGCCTCCCCTGCTCTCCACTTTCATCACCAAGTCTCGTCTGGATAAAGGCCAAAGCGGAGCAAAAATGTTCACGAGACCTCATCATTCTCACGATGCTCGTTTATCCAACCCCCATCTCTCTCGTTGTGTATAAACCCGAGAGCAACGTCCCTTTCTGGATTTAACCGGAGCGAGTGAGGTTTCATGATCCGGTTAAACTCGAATTAGGCCCCAACCTAAACTGTGAAGATGGAGCTATGTTAGTTGAATCTGTTACCGGGTAATGGAATGGGGCTTGTCGTCGATGAGATGAGTGTAGCCGGCAGAAAGGGAAAGCTTAAATTCTTATCTAGCTGGGCTTGCGGCTATATTCTTAGATTGCGAGATCTTGGTGATTGTGGGGGGTTGGAGACGTTATAGCATAGATCAGATTTAGCCTTGAGAATAATCTGGATTCCTAGTTATCAATAGTTAAATCTGGGGATTATGATCAGTATGGTTATTTTTAGCACGAGGCTAGGCGCTTTTTCGGGTTTGTAGTCACTGTTGGACACACTTTGGCATGCCCTTGGAACATAAAATGTAGTAGAAATACATAACATGTACATACGTATACTAGAGGTCTTGACTGTGAATGGCAATCGCAAGAGTTGTGAAAGATAACTGTGTATGTATATATAATATTTGTCCGAGGCTCATTAGAGCGTATTTGCCAACTGTCAATTTCAAGAATTTACAAATTGTGGGGCTCCGAAATGGCAACCGGGGCTGTTAACTTTGAATTCCGGTGGGGCGGCATGCTGTGAGATATACCAGGAGGATCACAAGTACCCAGTTTTGTTATGACCGAAGCTAGTATCATGGGTATGAATTTTCAGTTCCAACAGCGTATTTCACAGGTAGCGTGATGAATTGCCTCATTTTCGGGGTTTATTCTGTCATACCGTTAACCAGATCGATTTTGGCCACTGAGAGGAACTGTTAATTTTGCCTCCCGAAATTGTCAAGTTTGAAGTGTCAATAGTTGAAATTGACGGTTGTCAAATACGCTCTATTGAAGTAGAAAGACTGGATATTTGTAACGATGAAATACATAGCTACACATTCTGGTAGAATTAATGCGTAAGTGAGTTTTCTGTGACCCGATAGTCCCATTGGCCCTTAAAGGGATTTCTGCAAGGGGGAAGGAGCCCACAGTACTCAGCTTTTCGTTCTGACTTCCGGAATGTTTGCAGCGTGTGGTACTTGTACGTCTGGCTAGCGCGCCTAGTTAGGTTAGTCTTAGTAGCTAAGGAATCTTGGCATTCAAGTAGGACTCAGGGCGAGAAACACACATGGGCGAGTGGCTTAACGGTTAACTCGCCTTCCGGAACACCGAGTGGTTGTGCCTGACCTTTGAACGTCTATAGAAGGTCCATGGTTCGATCCAGGGGTGGGGGTAGTAGATGCCAGATCTGCAGTACCTTTTGTTCTTTTTTTGCACAAGCAAAATAATCATACTGAAATGAAGAAAGAATCATAAATTTTATTAGGAACTTATGCCCATTGGCTACATGTACCTACTATATACAGAACCTTCTGCCCGGTAGTTGATGGAGTTTGGGGGGCATGTTCTTGACAGCTATTTTCTTTTTTTTTTTTTTTTTCGCGAGCCGTACATGTAGCCAGAAGTTGAAAGAGCCTCTATCCGATCACATGTCTTGATATTAAACTCAGTCAAGGAACTGTTGTGAATGCATGTATGTATAGTTCTCGTTCAAAAATCATGGGACAACGCAACCGCGAGTTGCTACGGGGGCTTGTCCCAGGATTTTTGACATGGAGTTATACTTGAAACCCATCGAGGCAAGGCCCGAGGCTGCAATATGTCGAGGCACTACCGTCCCGTATAGGCACTAAATGATAAACTACATGTATCAAGAGAAGTTCCTTGACCCCAAGAAATTACATTACTATAACACTATGATTACTTACATAGGCAGAGTAGCTGCGCAAGTAAAAATACAGCAGTGGTAAAGTCGGAGCTATAAGTTAACTACCGGTGAAGCTTCAAGTCGTAACTAATTTTATTTATGGACATGGTGGCAGTATCATGCATCACACCGTCGAAGAAACAAATTATAAATTTCTGAAGGAATAAGGTGGCGTTTAGGAAATCCATTTATATTTTGGAGGTTTAGATCAGGCGTGGCTATGAGGTTGCATAAATTTATGAAGTTTATAGCGGGGAGGTAGTACTTGAGCTTAAAACATTTCTTTATCAATGATAATGAGGTTATGAGTTCCTATATAGCGCCTAGCCTCAGTTAGTATGCGTTTTTATTGGCACTTGAAAGGTGTAATTTGCTCAAACCTCAAAAACAGAAACCTTTGCATCTCAAATCCTTATTGTCACATGACAACTCAAAACTGTACATATTGATGAAGGATTGGTTTAGAATAATAAAAGAATTAGTGAGAAAAGATCGACTGCAGCTGATAAATAAGCATTTGGCAGTTACTCAGACATGCTGGCCAGTTGAATTCAATTTTATCATAACTCTTTAACTCGTTTTTGAGTTAAGGGCATGGAAGAAGAATCTGGGATTTAATGTGTATATTTTCACCTACTAAAGCTTGTGAACCCCGTCTGGATCCAATTATATCATCAATTCTGCCTTGCTTGCTTAGGCCTGGACGCATGCATCATTCCGGCGGTCGGAACGATCAACCTCGGTAGCACAACTTCTTGATTTAGAGGTTATGGTGAGACCGCCGTAGTCATCATTAGTGTAATTTGCATAGCTAATGGGCCCGTGAAAGTAATGCTCGCTTTCTCTCCTTGCTGTTGCTGATATGTATGTAAATTTAGCAGTACTGGTAAATCGGCGCTGGATAGGATATGGAACCTTAACTTTACCTATTAGGACAATGGCAAATCTTCCTATTAAAAATACAATCTGTTAATGTTTTTATACCCCTTTATATAAATCGGTCGGAAGGTAAACATAATATGATCTTCATCTTCTGATTTAACGCTCTCGACACATATGTGCTTGGGGAGACATCAACAGAGATTTCTACCTGGGCAGTGAGGGTTGGATTGAACGCCACCAGATGACTTTATATCTGCCCCGTGCAGGGTGTATTCGCTCTTCATTGAAAAGGCCCCGAGTTCTTGCACCTTGGAAGTTCAAACTGATATTGAGCCTTCTGAACAACACCTAAAACAGTTAACAGTCAGGTTTGGATGGCTGGATGATGAGCATATAAGGAGATTACCGTCAGAATATCATGGGAATCATCTAGGTTTAATCTCAATATGACGAACGTATGCGAATGGTGATGCCGGTGCTATGTCGAGTTGTGAAGAAGAAGCATATATACCGTCGTCAGCTTGAGCCGTACATTTATGTGTAGTACGTAGTTGCTACTTGGTTATTTACTGAAATCTGGCCTATGAGATGTACGTGAGTTTTGAGTGACAATACGGCTATGCAGTTTATGGTATACGTATGGAAGACGCGGAAATGCATAGCTCGAGTTTGACGCTCTCTTTTCCTGCTGCATTGAAGGAGATATGTGTTGAAATGCCTAGTCCCCTGTCATGCTAACTAATTTTAGACTTCAAGAATATCGTGGTTACTCAGCATGAGAATGATATCGGTGAGAGATTGCGATGGGGTTAAAAGAAGAGTTGACGGTGGAGGACAGGTTATGGAGAGTGATGTTTGAGCTGCCTATAGGCCCACATCCCGGGATAGTTTAACACGCTGCGAGAACTCTCAAAAAGCTTCGGTCTTGCGTGTGATAGGTGCTCAAGAGATGCATTACAAACATCATGGAAGTTATAAGTAGATGGATTTTGAAAGTAATAGGAAGAGTTATGGAAATTTATTTGAAGCGGGAACTTGTTTTGGAATGGGCAAAAGCTCTATAATCACCAGAAAGCTGCTCATAGCCGATGAGCACAAAAATAGGGAAGAAACTACATGTAGACTTCATAATCAGGTGTATTCACGTTCATGATCACTGGTTTTAATTCACGATGAGAAATAGCTTGTTGAGTGAACACAAATTTGATGTTCAGCTCACCCATAGATAGAAAGAAAAAAAAAAGATCTCTGCCATTCCTTAATGCTCATGCCTCATCCCATTTTATCAGCTCAACTGGGGACCCAGCCTCACAATTCGGGTTGCTTAAATCTTCTTAGCAGTACCCTCCTTGGGCTCCTCCTTGAGCTCCTCCTCGAGCTCCTCCTCGAGCTCCTCCTTCTTCCTCTTCGCCGCTTGAACATCGGCAGTAAGACGGGCCAGGATAACTTCTAACGCGCTGTAAATATGAGAGGGATGTTAGTATACATACACATGAGTGAGAGGGGACAAGTTTAGAGAAACTCACGCAATGCGTTCCTGATCTTCCTGTAGTCTTGTGCGTAAATGAGCAAGTCCATCGTTAACTGAATAGTTAGGTATGAGTCATTAGTGTAGCTGTATCTCATTGATAGTGTTTATTAGTTGGAATTTCTTGAGACTCACAGGTGATTCCGGCTCCAAACATAGGGTTGATTCTCTTTGATTTCATTATGATGTAAGTTTTAAATTTTTGTCCGTCGCTATTTGAGGGTGGAGGATAGAAAAGGAAGGTACATGTAGCTTTGAACGAGATTCTGGTACTTATAGGTTGAGGGGGTGGGGCCAGATCTAGCCCTAAGTATTGCCTATTGTGGCAGACGTCACGAGAACGAAGGATACATACGTGTATACATGTATGTACAGTACGAAGTCGGGCAACTTGTATACAAAGAGAGTAGATTCAATTATATCTCATCTGTAAATGGAAGTTTCAAAGCTTTATGCAGCCTCAAACCAAGCTCCGATCATATAATGCTTTTTCGTTGAAGATTCACGTATATATCGAGGGCTCTATTTGCACGAATAGGGCTAAGCACACGGCACCGGAGATAGGAGAATATTATGCCGCTTCACCATTAAGCCAGCTGCACCATTGGCCGAGAGATCCCGGTGCAGCTTCCCGGTCCCGTCGTCTAAGGCGTTAAAACATTAGGGTGGGTCTCACCCTGGGCGGCGAGTAACTATCTGTGTCGCTCCATTCACATCATACGATGTATTCAAATGAATGGGCCTATGTTTTATCTATGTAAAAAGATAAAGAGTTCAAGTTTTCGATAGTAGAATTGTCGAAATATGTCGACAGCTATTTGTGTTATTATTCTTATAACTTAGGAGGGCAATACAAACATGCTGAGATTTGCGTACTCCTGATCCTGATTGGGGATTTCATGGAGATTATTGGATAAATGACGACACGCTGGGGAAGGATGTAAAATTTAAAGGTAAATAAGGGTGGATTATATTTTGACTGAATTGTTTGTAAAGCCATGACCCCCTTCGTTGAATTGTTTAAGGCCATTAATATATATGGGAGTGCCTGCTCGAGAAATGCCCCTCACGGGAACTATTAAGATCGTGAGATAGAATTATGGGAATTCGAATAAACCACGAATAATAGCTTGCATGAATATATTTAACTTCTTTTGTATTTAGTTGTTGTTAGTAAGTGAACTTCGTGATGGTCCTCTTCGAGGCAAAGATGACAGGTCACGTGAAAATCGCAATGATCGTTGTATCCGGAAATCTGAGCCCACACCTGCGGAACCCAACGGAAAGATTTTGATGGTACCAGCAGGTCAGAGTTTTGAATTTCTTAGTAGGTAAATTCGACGACACAATTTTCACCTTGATCAAGTCTGTTTCCTCTTTTCGACTAAGCCCCTCCCTCCCACCGTTCCTCTCCTACCTCTCCTACCACCATCCGTCTCCTACTACCATCCCTCCCTACATCCTACATCTCTCTATCTCAAAATCTCTTCATCTCCAGGCTCCTCCATCGCTATCACCACCGCATGGATAACCTTCTCTTTCTACACCCTTTTCTTAGGCGTTTCATCGAGTTTTATACGATCGAGGGGATTTTGACGTTGGCTGTTTATACGTACGATCTCGTACAACCTCAGCTTTATTGTTTTGGATGATTTTAATAAATGGATAGATATATTTTGTCGGAGACAGATACGCCCGTGCTTTCACAAATCGCACTAGTTATCGTAAGTTATTGAACCCTTCTTTTGATGCCGTGTTAAATCTAATCATCCTATTTTGAAAAGTCTCTAGCCTTCAATTAGAACAAAACAGCCTAGGTCAATCGTCGAACTCACTCGTTTCTGTGAGTTACTTGTTTTGTTTGTACAATGTAAGTTCTCGCTCGCGTCTGACAGTTTTTTTATTATTTAACCTTATGGTAGCTCATCGGAAAGTCTTCGAGTCTAGTGTCTTGGTAATTGATCATCACCGCTGATTGAGCGTTTCCGAAAGTAACCTTTGTTGAGCTCTCACTTGAATGTGAGTTCTCGCATGCGTTTTGTGTGTGCGCATCCGTACATGTAGTACCGATTTCGATGCTGATATTAGTATAGAATAGCATCTCCTTCTGATAGTCAAGGGTGCTATTCGAAGTGGAAAATTCAGCTCAGCAGTTGATGCATCTTAGACCAGTATTCAAAAGCATCTGGGTATGTTTCTAGTTGACTTTTATACTCTTCTTCGCTTTTCTCATGATTTAGCTCATATCTGTTGATGCGATCCCGGCTCATAATCTCAATTGCTCCTAACTCATTCTAACGTGATTTCCTGCAGTGGTACTTCAAAGCACCAGCAAGGCTATTGAACCGGCCCAAGTTTATCAAAAGTGTCTTATGCTGGTTCATTCCTGCTGGACTCTTCGATCTCTTCACCTCCACCGTAATTACTCTTCCGACTAGCTTTTCAGGTAGGCCTGGGACCAGTCCTTCCCGTAGACCCAGCCCTGATCGTGGGTCTGGCCCTACTCAGACGTTCAGCCGTACTCAGACACCTGGGCGTTCTCTGCCTCGACTTGTCCCTTCTAGTTCGGGCCCTGTTCCGTCTTCTTCGCGTCGTCCTGCTCGTGTGGTTCTCATCATTGCTCGCACTCCAAGTCCCGTTAATTCACCAGCTCCGACTCCTCCACCCAGTCCGCCACAATCACCGAGCCCATCCCCAATCCCTCCTAGTCGTCGGACTCTAAGGGGCAACTTTCAAAGACCAACTATCATCGGCGGCCCTCCAGGAAGTCCAATTCACTATCCAGGATTCGAAGGGGATTTCATTCCAAACGGTGATAATTATTATCCCCAGGGGTTCGAGGCATCTTTTACGTTTAGAAACGGAAGTTGGTCGGAAGACTAGAGACTCGTAGAGCCCCAGGTCATAACTCCCAATTTTTGAAGACCTCGAGGTGGGTTTTCTTTGCCAGCTTTAATTAGGTCTATGCATGAGTGTGCTGACAAAGATTAGAGAAATAATCTGGGAGAGGTGAGCGAGTAGAAAAAAAAAATAAAGTAGAAAACCATATACGTATAACTTTATGTATCCGGATCTATCAAAGTAAGCTAAGCTCCAAGTGTTGGTGGTCCCTGCTCTCATGCCACCTCAAAACCTGCATCTCGATCATTCCCTACTAATTGTTTGTAGCAAGAATATGAGGGGAAAAGAAGAAGCAATGTATGAGGAGGGGGATATTGGGAGCAAAGAAATGTTGGTTGGTTCAGACGATGGGGAGGGCGACAGCAGTGACGACTCCGAAATGAGTTTCTGCATTACAGAGAACAACAACCATGGAACATGGCTCGCCGGGCCAGGTGGCGCGCGCGATGGGTCTTCGGGAGAACTCGAGAAGAGAATGATTAGCGGGGCAAAAGACAGTGGAGGAAACAATTCCTATCCCTCCGAGGGTGGTTTTCACTCTGAAAGTAACCGGTTTGACGAAGGTTTTAATCCACCAGAGAAAGATCCACATGGAGGAGAGATGCACCCCAATTCCCATAGTTCCCAGACAGACAATGCTCAGTTCCGTGATCCATCCGATCACGAAGGGAAGCACGGACCTTGGTTTGAGGGCCCAGATCCTTTCGGTGATATCATAGAGGATGGTATCCTTTATGACGGTCCGTATGAGTCCTCCTCAGACGGACTGGATTGGAGTGAACACGAGTCGGGGAGCGAAATAGACTCGTTTCTTGGTGGGAGTCGTAGGAAAAAGGTTAAAAAGCCACAAGGTGAGAGGTTGCCGCCGAGACCTTACACCCATTACCGCTCTCTTCTTGTCAATGGGAGAAGGCCCGTGAGAAGAAGGAATTCCTCTTCAAGCGAAGACAACATGCCGCAAAGAGAGCTCCCGGAAAAGAAAGAGGCACCAAAGAAAAAGAAAAGATTTTGGGAAAAGTGGAGGGTTGGTGCAGTTCTCGCACATGCAGCTAAAACAAATACTGCTAAGAGTAGTGAGATTTGAATAGACTTCCCACTGGTTCGTTTTTCCTTAAGCAGTGGAGGGAAATTGCGCTGATAATGTATTTTAGCTATAGATTCCACATATCGCTTCCTCTAACCATCTAGGAAAAGAAATGGAGCGTGGTAAGTGTCATGTCACCAAGGGGTTCAAGGCCAACTTTGGGCTCTTTACATGTACATACATACAGATAGCAAAATTAATCTCGAAACAATTTATTACTCACTGAAATGTTTATTAGGTGTTTAAGAACCTCATATATATAGTAAATGGCATATAGTTTTCTAAAAATAGGCCCTCAACTGGTAAATAGTGTCAGCCAAAATATTGTCCGTTTGAAACAAAATTCCCGTAAGAGGGGTACTGTGTAGTTACTCACAGCTCAACGCAAAAAGACCCAGACCTGACAACCACGAACGACCACCACCACTGCCATCATCCTTTCTCCATCGTCATCTGAAAACCGTCATGGATCTAGTTTCACCTCAAGGGAAAATGAGCTTGCCCAATGATTTCGATGAAGATGAACAAGGTTACTTTCCTCCAGGTCCCTACAACTCTCCATATGTAGCTCCTACAACGGCCTACGCCTCATCCAGCAACGCACCGAGACATATCTCTCTCAATGTCAATTACCCGACAGAAGACCATGATCTCGCGGATGGCCGCTTTTTCGACGCTTCTAAGGTGCCTTTTGTGTGTACTTCCTAGCTAACTGCATGTATTTACACATATACTGATTTATGTGACGCCAAAAAGTCTGAAACCGTTACCAAAATATCAAAGACCGAGAGACTCAAGTCAATCTTCTCTCGTGGTTTCCCCAAGACCAAAAACACTTCTCCAGCCAAATCCGTCGTTAGGGTTGTGGTGCCCGCTGTCGTGGAGCTCGGGAGTGATATCGCTGGCCATGACCGCGTGCGGGATGGCGATCAACGTGCTGTGGTGGAAGATTATGAAAATCTTGATATATATGGGAATCGAGTGATTCCTGTTGAAGCAAATCTCTGGCTTTACCGCCAATGCATGAAGACCAAGCGTGCGGTAATTATTGATCTTAAGCACGAGCCAACCTTTTCCGAACTCTCTAGAGTCTGTAAGAATACCGGAAAGCTGGAAAAGGTCGAGATTTGCAAAACCAACAATTACGCAAAGGTTCGGTTCCTCGAGGAGGAGGGGGCGGCCCGTCTTATGGAACTCGCCCAATCGCAAATCACTTACCCAGTCGCCGATAGCAACTACAAGCGTGCTAGGTCTACGCTCATCGATGTGAAGTACAATTGGCCAATTGAAAATCTCGAGCCCCGGGTCTTGGAATGTATCAGGGTGGACGACGCTACTCGTTGTATTATTATCAGGGGGCCCATTGGCAAGGAAATACAGAAACTTCTTAATATTGCGGAGGATGAGAAGCGTCACATTAGAGTGGAAATGTGGGATTTCGCAAAGTATCTCATGGGAACTGACGTTGTTGGGGACATTGAAAGCGTCCAAATTGGATATGTTGGTGGCTGTTGGGAAATCACGATCATTTACACCGATATCCTCGTGGCGATTCATGCAGTCGACGTTTTGAAATCTGAAGCCGAGTTTAAGAAGTGTACCATCTGGTACGGAGCTGATCCGTGAGTTTCTTTAATTCCAAAAATAAGGTCAATTAAATGCTAATTATGTTGTTATTTTGGATAGATGCGAACCCCCACGTGTGGCCCAAGCCTCTTAAATCTGTCGACACTTAAATATTTAGGCAAAGAAATTCACCAACAGTACGAGTAAGAGTATGGCTGGGGTTTATCAAGTTTGTCGAATAAGATGGTCGATTTTGGAATGGAAGCGAGGGTGTGTGTATGCGGTATGGGGGTGCATGGAAGGTTTCCTCTAAATAAGAGTAACACACATTTAGTCTTGTGACAGTAGGAAATGCCTTAAGGAATAGAAAAGCCGTTATTGAAGATTTTCTCACGCTCTTGTGACATCGTATCTTACACATTTGATCTTCATAGGATCACCATCGGTCCTCTATCTTGTTACTTGTATGTTCTTAGTACACTAAGTACAGTCGTTTAGAGAAGACTTTCTGAGCTGTTCTGTTACTTCCCGGTGAGGCTACCTACGTAGATCTTTGTATGTATACGGTTTAAAATTAGCAGATGTCCTCTTCAAATATTTTATTTTTTTGACGAATAGGGCGTTGACGATGAAATCGAACTAGTACAGCCACATGAAACTACTAATACTCAACCCATCAACTTCAAGAAACGAAACATTCGCCTAGAATCTAAAGATTTTGTTACTCTCGACTTAAGTTGCTCTTCGTAGACATAGAGTCATACAAAAGCAAGGCAGATAGGAGTGGAGTGAGTGGTTCTTGCCCGGCTTGACTTCATGAACCACATTGCTAAATGCAATACTGTATGTGACTTTTATGCAAGTAATCATAACATTTCTTTATAGAAATTTAGGTTTAGAGAAGCTACAAGGATAAATCAAGAGGCCGGCGAGAAACAAAAAGGTTTCCTTCTTAATGATTGGTTCTATTACGAAGTTCTGAGTAAACATGTATATACCATCTCTTGGATAAATTACGCTGTAAACCCTCGTCTCGGTGACACATTCTCGAAATATTATGGTGGGGAATGACGCTGGGGATGGCGTTATCAGGGCTTCGGTAGAATGATAACCGCCGCGAATGAGGATATCAAACCTTCGTCCTCGGCCATGGTTAGAGCCCTATCTCTATCGAAAGAGTTAAACGGATTAGGAAAAACGGAAATTGTAAACGAAAGTGCTATGTATTGATAAAGAGAACCTATCTATTTAGCAAGAGTCTGCTAAGAGTAAAAAAGCCGAATGTACCTGGTTCTGTATAGAATAAATGCAAAAAAAAGAAAAGAAAAAAGGCTAAAATACACCCCGAACCTTCCGACATCACCTACCACAAGATCTCTCCAAACACCTCTGCTTAATTTTGCAACCAGCAGAACTGATAACCCTCTCTGTCAGGTATCCACCCCTCATTACCAAGCTTCGCAAAAAATCCAGCGTACTCGAAACAAAGACCTTTACGACCCAAACAAGATGGAGTTTAGACCAAGCCTTGAATTCCACCCCGGTGCTCCATACGCCGGTCAGCCTGTTCAGTCCGCCCAGCAAGCTCAGGGAAACCCATCAGCTGGTGAGAATTCGGTACAGAGCGGTCAATGGCTTCCAGTTGATCAGAGCCATCACGGGGGTATACCTTACGGAGGAATGTCTCACACAAGCATTGTTCACGGTATGTCTCACGGAAGCATTTCTAATGGTAGCATGGCCCATGGGGGTATACCTCATGGAGGTATTCCTCAAGGAAGTTTGGCTCATGGGGGTATACCTCACGGTGGTGTCCATCATGGAAATATTTCTCACACCAATGTGAACCAAGCTGGTATCTCACTCTGGCCCCATCAGCAACCTGGAATGGTTTCCGCTGGGAGACAATTCAGTCTTCATGGACAGGAAAGACCTTACTATGGAGCTGCTCCATTCTCCTACTCTCATCAACAAGTCAATCACCCATCCGCTGTCCACCCACTGCCTGGAAGTTACATCACGAGGATGAATCCGTCAGCTCATGGCTACGAGGTTCCCTACACCCCATCCCGAAGTTCTGTCATGGGCCAGGCCCAGATAGTAAACAGAGGGGGTGGTTATCATCTTCAGCATCCGCAGGCAGTTTATAATACAGTAAGTACTGCCTTCATGCTCACTATGACGCTCTCCGCCTTGCCCCCTCTGTGGATCTGATCGTTGATTGGATTGGCTCCCCACCCAACTTCTCTATAATCTATAATAGTTAAACTAACGCCTGATTTCAGCCGCCGAACGAGAATATCGATCCTCGTGGTCAAAAACAGCAACAGCGTTCGAAGTACTCGGCCACCAAAACAAATGAGTCCCAGAGCAATAACGTCAACGGCAGTGTTCCAGCTTCGCCAGCCCCCATGCCAGGGTCCGGTGGAAAGGCGCGGGCTAGGCGTCAGCAGCAACGTACCGCCGATTACCGGACTTTGCAAGCTCACCTCCCCTTCTTTCATCGAAGAAATAGCGTGGATGGTAATGAACAGAGCTCATACTCAGAAGCCGACCAGCATGGAAATCGCATGGATTATGAGGATGAACAGGAACAAAAGAGGGAGAGAATCAAGGCGAAGGTCGAGCAGGAGTTTGCGCTTCTTGATTCTACCCCCTACGAGGCCAAGATGGAGAGGTGGATGGATTTCGAGGAGGATGAGTTTTGCCCGGTTTAAGACGTTAATTTGAAGGAAAGAAAATGGCTATGAGTTTTGCGTTGCTGGGTAATGCTTCACCCAATTCTTGTAAACGTTGGTAATGCGTAGAGGTGTCTATTGATTCGTGTTTGCGTTCAATGGATGAACTCCTTGTATAAAGTTCACTATGATTTTGCTATGCTATTTAGACCCTCCTGTATAGCCTAATTTCTTTTTCTTTTTTTTAAAAAATGAACCATTACATCTTTTAAAAGAATTTTCGTCTTATTTTTAGCATTGTAACTTAAGATCATGAAGTCCCGTTGACCTGGTATAATATAAAGTACAGGGCGATAAAGACGTTCACATGAAAATATTCCCTGTATATTCATAGCTGAAGAGAGTTGTTTGCTTTTCCATGATTTATCTCACTATCTACCAATGAAAGTCTGAGAAGGATATCACGGAGTCAATTGTAGGTACATACAAGTAGTTAGTGAATAGGAGAGAGATTCTGTGCGAGGAATAGTGACATAATACAACTTCTAGTAAAGTACATGTAAATAAATAATAAACTAAAATGTATTATATGCCGTTTTTTCTTTTTTTTCTTTGAAAGGACGAAAATTTATCATATATTATGCAAGTGGGAGTAAGTACCCGCTCACAAACACCGCCAACGCCCCACCTTTAGCTCGACATCTCATCAACACCTCCAACCCCTCCACACCTCAATCCCTCGCCACTTCTCAAACTGTGAAAGATCACCCAATTCCAATCACACTCACTATAGCCTCAAACATTATGGGCTCCCCCATGAACTTCAATTGGACTCCGTCCCCATCTCCCCCACCGTCTAGCCGTGCAGAGGTAGTGCAAAAGAAGCAGCCTGCTATAAGCTTCAGTTTCTGCAGAGAATGGTACGTCCTTTCATGAACGAAGATTTGCCCGCCAAAGTAAACGTATGCTAATATCTTTAAAGTAGCAACTTACAATATCCATATCACGTATTTATCATCCTTCGCCTTCTACACTGCATCTTTTACCTCAATTTCCATCCTTCCTTTATCAACCGCCCTCCTGCCTCACTAACACCTTATCAGTGTAAAATCACCCTTACCCTTCAGTACAAGTGTCGCTCGTGTAATGTCAGCGAGCCCGCGAAGGGTAATTGTATCTTTAGACAGACCTACAACAAGCCTATAGCGGCAGAGTTCAATTCCGATATTGTTGAGGACCCTACTGTTCGTATTTATCACGGGAGATGTTTTATAGTACCGTAGCGAAGAGCGCTGATGAGAGATGTGATAGATGCCTAGGACGGAGAAGCTTTGCACTCACTGTGGCGAGGACCAGGCTGTACTTTTCCAGAGACATGATAAAGATAGTGGAACTACTATGGCGAGTTCCATTGACTTCTCATGAGAGGAAGGAAAAAGGATATTGAGAGTGTAGTTGCTAATTTGGTGAGCGTATGTGTAGGCTTTGTTCTATATCTGTACTTCGTGCAGGACCATCCATTGAGGCGGATATGGGAATGGCCCCCGATGAATGCATATTTTGGTTGATGGTTTTGGTCTCTTTGTGGAGCCTACAACTTCGGAAACCCAAGCCCTGAAGCAGAGTATACTAGGGTGAGCCATATTAGGGGATCCTCTGTAATCAGCAGAGTTGCCATGAAGTTAGTTTAAAAAAAAGGATCTGGCGTTATGTTGGCTTTTAAATACGGTATAAGAAAGACCAAATAAATGTTGTGATGACCCCAGGACTTGGTCAATTGGAAATTAACGTAGCACCAGTACCTTTGCTATTAAAGAAAGATGGGGAGAAGAATCTTAAGTTGATGGAGCACTGTATCTGAGTCTCAAATCCTGGGTGTAGGGTCAGTTGTTAACTATGACGTTAACGGGAAATGCTCATGAACCTAACTCATAGCTAGATCTACCCTTCTTCTAGTTTAAGAATTAATGTATTGATCATTCATTTAGATTTCTGAACATGCATATTGGCTACGGTAGCTCTTATATTTAAAACTCGATAGCCAACTCCTTTATACATGTGCTGCCATCCCAAGCACACCGGCGTTATAATTGGAACAGTATCAGTAAGCCAAAAAAAGAAATATTCCACTGGCTCCACGAAAAAAGTCTACACGTCTATCATTAACTCTTCAGCTTCTCTCTCTAGACTGACCCTAACATCGCGCTATAACAATAACGCGATCCTTTTATTATCCAACTCTCGAATCATACCACATGTAGTTCCCATATCCTCTCTACACCTCTCCAATAGGCGTGTCGTTACTCCCACCTCCTTCTCATGTTTCGCCCGTGATGCTATAATTAGCTCCATCAACACATCGTTCTGCAATGCCTTCGGCGTGCACTGAAGCAGCGTCCTGATAATAGACGTATGGCGGGTTTAATGATGCGAAGGTATTGAAAGAGGGATAGCTCGGAACTTTGGAGGTTCCGGAGGGACTGAATAAGATAGATCAGTTCGTCTGTGACCTCTGCGGGGGTGTTGGTGTCTGCCATTGAGTATGAGGGGGTGGATGTAGGTGATGTATTTGGACTGGTATAAGATATGGGGGTTCTTCTTATAGTGAAGAAAGTTTCAAGTATCAGGTTGATAGTGGCTCTCTCATAGTCTCAGTAGTCGTATTCTGTGGTGTGTTGAAATTGACTTTCTAAGCGTTGCTCATAGACGGAAGCACCGTTATTATGTGTTTTGAGATCTTGAAAATTAAAAGATAAAAAAAGTGGTTTTCATGACATCTCCCAGGGTGGAATCTTGTTCGAAACCATTACCACCACAATGATATCACGGTGTATCAGTATAGTTGAACAACAGAGCTTTTGTTTGGAGCCTCTTCTCGAGCCTTCACCGAGAGCTTGATCATCATATATCACTCGCTTAATCATGGACTATTACTCGGGAGATTATACAGTCGAGATTATGCTCTATCGCGAAGCTGAAGGGGCGAAGAAGGTCCTTAGTACTTTCGGTTATAGTGAAACCTGTGGAAATGAGATAATATAAAGAGCCATATGTTGCTCATAGTGTGGGCATGGTAAATAACTCCCATTACCTTTCGCATGATAGCTTCCTGAGAACTTGAGAGTAATATAATCATATTATATGAATTCCTACAGGCCCGTGGTGTGTGACGTGTACATTTATAACCAGATATGCGCAAGTGCTATGTAGACTACAATGCACATGTTGGTATGGAGCAAGCTGGCTCGAGGAAACTTAAGGCAAGTGAATAGGGACACGTATCGACTGCGGGCACGACACTTGGATTTCCTTTCTTGTCCCTCTCCTTTCTCTATCATCATTACATTATCACATCATCACAAGGTTTTATATACTGCTTGAGCTATCGACAGGCTCTCATCTTTTAACGTGTTAAAGAAACAGATCACTCTCGGCCTCAGTAGATACTCTTTGAATGGCTAAACTAATATTCACTACAAGAGGTGGTACCTAAACTATGTAAGTATTCCAAATGTTACTTGAATTTTTTCTCTTTAAATTTAGACATATTCGGCTCCCCACATCTTATCTAAAACCATGAGGAGCCAATCAAACAATACCACTCCACCCCAATCTTTACCGCCCCAACGCCAATGTCCCATTCAACTCAGCAACGGACACCCCATCAATCGACTCCGCAATCGACGCGTTCTCAAAGTTGGTTCCAAACGTCGAAATACTTCCAGAGCGTCTCTTCAATGGCTCCAAGTACCTGAGTGTCCTCCTGAAGCCGCTCTGATTATCCTCTAAGGTCTCAGGCAGACTCGATGTACTCGCATTGCGGTTTCCACCCAAGATTCTTCCAAGTCGCGAGGCGCCGCGGGAAAAACAATTTCTTGAAATAAAGGGCGGGAAGCTAACATAACCATCGGTGACGGGGAGCTTATAGGTCACGGGGGAGAGGGAGGTGATCTGCCCATTGCTATTTATGGATGTGGATGACGAGTTATCCATTAAAGGGGCGTACTCGTAGATGAGAGTTGGGAGGGAAGAGGTTGAGGTACAGCGTGAGGGTGGAGGTGCGTGCATGAGAATGCTAGCGGGGGAGGAGGGCCGTTGGCGCGGGTCCGCCACTGCGCGGGGAGCTGATGGGGTGCGACTGGAGATATTCCTTTTACGGCCTGGGGAGGGGCTGGAGCTGGCAACCTCCGTAGTATTAAGGTTTCTTGAGCGAAGTTTCTGGGGGAGCTTTTGTGACGCGGGGGATTTTGGTGGTTTCTGTTCCTGCTTGTCTATTTTTGGTTCTACTTTTACTAAAGAAAGAGAACATCAGTACGGCTCTAGGACTGAAGGTAGGGACTGGACATACCAGGAGTATTTATATTGTCCCTCCCTGAATCGGACGTGTCGCTCCTCATCTGCCTGACCCTGCGGTAGTTGTACTTCCCCCTCCAACTCCCCTTTCTTTCCAACGGTCCCACATTCAAGATAGTCTCCCGACTACTGCTACGACTCGACGATGGAGTCTCTGTGTCTGCCGGCGCAACCATCCTCTCACTCCCTTCCGGGGGATCAAACGGCGGGAAATCCGTATACTCCACTGGTAAAACCTTCCTCTTCAACACCGGCCTAAACCTGCGTCCGCGGCCACCCTCCAACGGTGGTAGCTGCTGCGGGCCAGTTGCATCATTGATGTTGTAGATATACTCTTCCTCCTCCTCGGACTCAGCTACACTGAGATTGGCACTGACCAAACTTGTCGTTGACGGCGACTTTGGGGGCGATGCATCTTTGTCTACTTATCAGCTTCCCTTTCTTCTCATTTACTGGTGAAGAAGAACTTACGTTCACTTGAGCCTGCGGCAGACAGCTTCCCGCCGATGTTGAACAGTCCTTTGACCATTCCCCGCGCAGCAGCAGTCGCAAGACGGAGTGAGGAGGTCTTCTGGCGCAGCGGCTGCGAGGGTGTGTCGGTGTCGGCCTCTACAGTTTGGTGCAGACGGGTTGCAGCATCGCTGGAAAGGCGGCTGGGAGAGCCATGAGCATGCGTTGACACTGGCGAGGCAGCGTCAAGGGAGGCGGGCACCATGAGATTGGGAGGGCGGGAGTCGGACATTTTGGTTGTTTGTTGTGGAGAGAGATTATGGTGGAAGGTGGTGTAGTGTACGGGATGTAGGCGGAATGTGCAGGTTGGTTCTTGTGTGTAGACAAAGGTAAGAAAGAAAAAATCACATTTGTACCTAACGGTTAAGGGGCCTCTGAATCCAAATTTGCACTTGGAGTTACAGGTGGCTACGCTTCACAATGAGCATCTACCAACTCTCCGGAAGATAATACACGTCTATAGAAGTCCATCTATTACCAGTAGGCAATTTCATCTTCGAATCCTAAAAGATGTAAAATTATCATTGCATCACGAGCCATCACTCGATAATGTACGGTCTTATCACCTCAGATATAAATAGTAAAAATTACACTGATTCACGTATTATCCGTAATGTTGGAATGAATGCCCACGGTGCAGATGCATGGGATTGCGGGAGACACTAACAGCTACAGCTAAGTTAAGTATAAGAGCCTACTATCATAACAGGGGTTAGTCATAGAATGGGGTTACTGGGGTAAGGAGCAAGAAGTATGAAATTAGATGGGAAAATAAGAACTTGTAAAGGGACGTGCTGCCGCTATCCAGGGCTCTCTCGCTCGATCCCTTTTTTTATCCTTCCTTCCTTTCTTTCGTCTTCACTCTTCCTTCATTCTGCAACCCCAGCGACAATCACCGACGCCCGCACAAACCCATCACCGCCACCATAGAAAGAAACGGCCAGCCCCCGCACCGCGGGAAAATTGTATGTGCTCCGTTTTCCCCTTCTTTATATTCAAAAGGCCCTCCACACAACCCTTTTTAAAACTCCTACTCACCCATCAACAGCGCGATGCAAGGCCAGAATAAACCCGCCAAAACGACGATTTCCGCAACCGTCGTGGCCATCAACAGTCACACAAGAATGTGTGGGTCAGAGAAGTTTACCCCCTCCTGATTTTTGGGCTGTGTTTTTATTTTTTAAACTTTTTTAAAGTCTGCTAACCGGCACGCGGTGATGAGTATGTAGCGAAGCCGATCCCTTATACACACACAGACACGCCCCCGAAACTGTAGTGGTAGAGGGGGCGTAGTGGTGGGATGTGTGGCCAATTTTAACAGAAAACTACACTCTGAGCGTGCCTCCGTTTGTGACTTTTTAGGTGTGGGTTTTGAGGGCTTCTATGTGCGACTCTGGGGGCTTTTATGTGAGGATGTTTTCCACAAGGAATCACCTAGAGAGGACCTTGTCCCCTATTTTTGTTGTTCGGTTGTCATCTGGAAATGGTCCCGCTTGAGGGGTGTTTCTTTCTTTTTTTGTGCTGTTTGTACCAATGGTTCTCCTACTTGATTTTCTCTATTTCCTTTCTATTTCCATATTTCGTCCTATTCTGGAATGACCTCATGTTTATTATGGGGAGTCCGGAGGTGCTTCGTTCTCTTATTCTGCTTATTCCTCTTTCTTCTTATTCTTCATACGGAAATTTTCATATTTTTTCATATTTTTTCTTCACACGTTTATGTTTCTATACCTCGTGACCTCCGGCCCTTTTCTTGCTGTATCCTATTACCCTTCTTCCATTTAGTCCCCCAGGTACCCAACTTGAAGTAATATATTCTTTTCTTTCGGATGAGGAAGGAGGTAGTATTCTTTTTATTTCTCTCCGGTGGATCCGCATAATTTCTGCTCCCTACTCGTTTGTTTCGATGGAGAAGAGTTTCTTTTTGTAATAAGACTACTTAAAAGATTGCTTGCTCTTTTATCTTTATTTTTCTTTCTTTACTTCCTCTTTTTCCCGAGCAGTATTTGCAATTTTTCAAGATGTCTGCCACATTTATTCTGCGTGCCTCCCCCAAAGTATCTGATCCTAACCAGAGGAGCACTATCAACCTGAGGTAACCGCCAGCTGCACAGCTCTGCCCGTACCCCTCATGGAGAGAAAGTGGGTTCTTTTTTACGTCGCCCTGCTCCATGGCATTCATTCTATCCTGATCTCCCGGGAAGTAACCTATTTCTTGAATAAAAGGTCTCTTGGATGTGTAGTCGCCGTCATCTAATATAGCGTCACAAGCATGTTAACGTAAGTTGGTATTTCCATTTCTGTCCCTTCATAGACGATTCGAGAAATCGAGTGGTAGTGAGACATGGTCTTTTTCCCGAAGAAAAATGATGAAAATTGATTGAGCTGACCTAACGTTATGGCTATGCAGTCAGATTTTATTCAAGACCTCTAGGCCACACTGGTTACTCACTTTCGCAATTTCCCTACCCACTCCTTGATATCAGACCGTACCAACGAGAACACCCATCGCACAGAAGAACATGCCTTTTGTTTATATAAAGAGAGGGACTCGATAGCAAGTAGAAAAGCAGTAAGGACTACCATCGTCAATGAAGAGATCACCGGATATCAATGAATCGAATCCAGTGTATAGAGTTTTATGTCGTGTGAGTACTCCAATCTCAATATCTGTATCCCGTTTTTTTGTGAAGATGAGCAGAGATGATGAAGCAGGCAGCCGCACGGCTACTCCTCTACCAATAAGTAGATAAGGAGAATCTAGTTCGTTTCAATTCAGAGATAACAACCCATGTCCAATACTTTCTAATGGACACTATAGTGAGAACTCAATGAGACAGAGGCTCCGAGCGAGATATAGCCATTACGATGGCTTTTGTGCAGTGTAACAGAGTGTACAAGGCGAATGAGTAATAGGTCCCTGTGGCCACTTGTCTCTGGTGAGTGAGAGATGGTCCTTGAAAACAAAAGCCCGCCAAAACTGATGACAGCAGTGAATATTAGGAAGCCATAATATATTTGAGCGAGAAAGAACGCAGAATGCTATAGATATTAACGTGGACTAACCAAAAAGCGTAGGTAATGCCACTCTGGCAATTGGCTGCCAATTTATTCGCTAAATACGTCGAAGAAGAGGCTACAGAGCAGTGTATAAGAAGGGTCCTGACTATGAGTTAGAGTAAGTATTGCACTTCTTCGTTAAGAGATGATGGGATTATACAATTGTATCCTTACCAGCTAACCATTACCCAAATTTAGAGCTATGTGGGCCAGGCAAAAGATGACCTTGGGTCATGAATTCCTAATTAAGCGCACATGTCGATGTCTGAACAGTCAGCACGGGGTTCATGCATATAGGCACAAGCAAGGAGCAAAGGAGAAGTACAGACAAGGTCGGACGGAGGTGAGCCGAACCTGAATTTATGGATACACCGATCTACTCCCTGCAGCAGAACGTATTGTCCTTGAGTCTGTTTCTTCCCCGGTTATGATGTAGATCTCTACTTAAATTTAACATGTAGTGATTGAGATGGTACCAAAGATGAATTATTGATGGAAACCTTTCGCTATAGAGCGGAGGTGGTTAGATTGAAACAAAAGCACGAAGCCATTACTCGTGTTGGCATCAGACAAATCCGCTCCAGGAGAGCGTCGTGTACGTTGTGCCACGGGCCGGGATATCCAGTATGCGCTTAAAACAAGACCGCGACTATTCCTAATGGACGGATAGACATACATGTAGGTGTACGGGACAGCTACGGTGTGTGCGTGGCAGGTTGATCTTTCAGGATTCTGCATGGAAAAGGTGGAGGAAAACACATTTACTGATTAAAAGAAATAGATCCTCTTCATATACCTATCACTCTCGCTCATCCCTTCGTCCCCATTCACCTCAGCACCTTCGTCGAAAACCTTAGATACATTTTTCCGTCAAAATGGGGATAAAACCCACCCGGATACATCAGAAGATGTCAACAGGCTACTCGCTAGCCATAAATTTTCACGGCCTGGGTATACTCAGCGTGGGAGATCCCGCATCTATTGTTGTTGAATCAGACCACTTTCTTCCTACCCAACTCGACGCCAATAGGAAATCTTTCACTCCACACTTTCACCCGCTCCCACAACCTCATCAAAACAAACCTTTAATCCCACCAAAGCATCACTCCATCTCATCAAAACCATTTTCATCCCTCTAGAACCCCTATAATCTTCCGTGACTGAAAAGATGGGTATCACTACCAAACTTTCCAAAGTCCGACCCAACTCTACTCTGAATACCGGTTTCAGCAAGTGCCTCTCCTGTGGTAGCAAAGCCAAAGGCAAGGAAAAGCTGAAAAAGACCGAAGAACACGACTTCACCCACACCTACAGTAAACCTCCCCCACTCAACACCCGCGCTGTCATCGTCAACTCAGGAGTCACCGCTCTAGTTTCCAAGACCCCTTCGGGAGTAATCCACTCTGCAGGAGGGGCCAGCCATAAGAGCAAATTAACCGATCCCACAGAAGAGTCCATCAACTTCCGTATGAATTCCTTTTTTTTTTTTTTTTTTTTTTTTTAATTTTCTTTTCACGCGATTATTGCGTGGGGTTTTGGCTAACGCAAGGTGGTGTGACAGGCCTAAATTCTGCATTGACTACGGTCACAGAAATAACTGAGCCAGAGTCAGACTCCGAAGTTGAACGCTCTGCAAACGCACGCATCCCAACTCTCGGGTCTCTACCAATTATCGACGAAAATAGCATAAGCATCATCCTACCAGACACGCGACGTCACTCTGCAATCCCCGATTTCCGTAATCATAGTCCTGAGGCGAACTATCACGAAGAGCACTCTACACAAGTCTACAGTCGCCGTTATTCACTACCAACTTTACCCACTTATCACCTTCCCCTTCGTGCGCAACCCTCGTTCGCATCAAGCTTTGAGGGCTTTGACGCTTTTTTTACCCCCGACCATAAACGCGCTACAAGAGAAAACGAAAGTAGCGAGGTAGGAGAAGAAGAAATCAAGAAGGGAGACAAAGACGAAAGTATGAGCTATCGTCATCACTCTTACAACTCTCACCTTGACCCCAACGCTAGCCTGACAAGGAGGTCTGAGATCACAATGGCCGGGCGGACTCGTCCAGGCCTCACAACGGTTGGCGGGAACTCAGTTAGAGCTGGCCGGTCTATAGCCGCTCCGTCTGTTACTGCTCCATCCATGGTTTCTCCTTCAATTTCTGCCCCGTCTACATCCATGGGTGCGTCCCAGTCAAGGGTTCTGAAAACCTTGGCAAACCTTCCCGATCAAGGTATGGATAGCGTTCGCACCAATACCACAACGACAGGGATTACTATAAACAGTAACAAGGTTGACCTTAACAAACCCTTGCCGATGCCTCCATCCCTGCCATGGCGAAGACGTCTTTCCTCCGTCCTCAATCCCCAGAAGAGCAGGGCAAACCTCAATACAGGTGTCTCTCAGAGTCTTCTCGACGTTAGACAATCGGCCGGACGTTCGGTTGAGAGTTTGAAGGAGTCTGTTGGGGGTGGCGGTAGTGCCGGGGCGTTGGGTACATGGAAGTCATTGAATTGGGCCCGCGCTCCAGCGGCCAGTGTGGTCTCGGATCGCCCACCAATTCTCCCGGTCTTAGATTCAACTGAGTTCGGTGATTTGTTGCTTGCTGCTGCTACTGTTGCTAGTTCTCGTCCATCAACTCCGACGGGTAATGGGGCGCGAAATAAAAATCTTGCTACTCCATCGGTAGCTGTCGAGCTCCCGGTTACCCCGAGCAGTGGCCAACGCCTTATCCGTTCACCAGCCTGCAAAAATCTTCACATTATCTCATCCCACGAGTGCTCTGCAATTAGCCTTATTTCGAAGGGGAAAGGCCCTACAAAAGCTCATATTCGAACTCTAAGCTGGGTATCAAGTATTCATTCTGGCGGCGAGCATGTAGAGGATGCGAAGACGACACCGGAGAGCAAGGTTGGTACTACGCCTTCTAATACCACCCGTGACGACGCTCCTGATATTACCATTAGCGGAGTTGAGTTTGAGGGCTCTATCCATCCAACTGAGAAGGAAGGTTCTGTCGGTAACCTCTCAGAAAAAAAGAGTGTACGCCAGGAAGGGTTTCAGGGAAACTACAAAGAGTTCTTGGATGAGTCTGTCGATCGCTATGGTCGCAGCGGCAGAGGAGGAAGGATGAATAGAGAGCTGTCGGTCACTGACAGCATGTCATACATCGTTGGAGATCGAACTAGTAGGATCGATCCGAGGGGGGAGCGCATGCTCGAGATTTGGGGGGATGTCAAGGCGGGGGAGAGCACTGTTATCGTTTAGGTGGAATAAAAAGAGGGGGTCTTTCGATTTTCTTTTTAAGGAAGTGAGGAATTGTGATATATGGAAGGTTCCGTTTATCTGTTTCATATCTGATAGATTTGGGGGGTGTTTTCTCTTTCTTTCTGACATTGGCCTATAGAGCTATGCGTGATACTACATCTCGTTTGGGGAGTACATACTGCATGTCTGAGTTTCTTTATCTTTTATTCAAACACATATGCGTTTCTAATTACTAAACCTCCTGTCTAATTACCTCCTGTCAATTAATCAATAATCATTCTTATGAGTATGTATCAAATTAATTATCAAGTACATGTAGTATCTAGCAAGAAGAGTAGTAATTTGTGTATTTTTCGGTGGGTCGGGGGGTTTCGGCGTGACAGAATGAGGTGCACTAACTCCGAAGCTTCATTGTACACCAAAACGCACAACGTAGCAAGCAGGGACAGCATCTTCAACGCAAGGAGATAAAAGCTTCTATCTCTATATCCAGTTACTTTAATTCTAGTCTCAATCGCGTCTCCATATCTCAACCGCGGACCAGTTACTGCATTCCGATAAATACCAACTGCATGTGGTGATGGGCATGATATTAAAGACTTCATAAGTCTTGCCTCGTCTCCTCTCGTCAGACTCAAGGTCGTATTGTGTTACCAGAGATTTCGGCAGTCTTGGGACTTACTCGAGACCACTGGTTTCGTGCCTAACACCCGTCAACCTCAATAAAACCTCGTCATCGACGAAAAATTGTCGCCCAACAGCGCATCAAACCATGACTACGCGGTTATCCCAAGCCCACAGAATTCGGGCATACAAGAGTTGGGAGCCAGAGATGAGAGGGGGGGAGGGATGATACGATCAACGCCTTCCTCTGATACTTCATGTCGTTCCGTCACGGTAGTTGGTTTTGTGGTAGATAGGTAAGGATATGGAGAATACCTCTCAGGGTGCGTATGAGATCTTATGCAGTGGTTCGCTGTCAGTATAAGGAAACACGGCGGGTCAACAGAGGAGGGGGCAGTCATCTGCCTAGGGTGTTCTTCTCCGTAGTTGTCTATCGGATCGTCATGTTTTGATTTCTTTTTTTCTTTTTTTCTTCTTTTTTTTTCATGATTTAAAAAAAGAAAAGAAAAGAAAAACCACCGCCACTACCAGAAAGCTACCGGGTTGGGCTTGGGAACGAAACTACAGGACATTGCAACCCCCATGTAATGGTAGTCCCAAATTGCACATAGAATGAGGAGGGACAGGAGCATTGAATACAAATATGAAATGGGTATAACATGCATAAATGTATCTCCCTCTACGCTACATACTGCAGCAGAGATGGACGTATGCGTACGCCTACGTCCATACCCTAAGCCCTCTCCCTCTCCTTCTCTCAATTCTTAGCCCATCTTAGCGGCGGCCAAAAGAGATTCCTTTATAAGGCTTCGTCTCCCCTCACCTCCCTTTCTTTCTTCTTCAGCACACCTAACCACCCTGCCTAGCCTTGCTAGTTGAGGGCTCCCATCTCTCCTTCGGGAGGGGTGGGGCTTCATTTCTCCTTCGGGAGGAGTGTGGCCTCATCCCGCCTTCAGGAGGTGTGGGGGTTCTCCTCTAGTCGGTGCCAAAAAAAGGTCTTGAAATAGGCGTGTGCTCTTGAAATAAAAGCCGGTTTACCGGGACTTTTTTTCAGAAGTGCTTGCACTTTCTTTTTTTCATTGTCTTCCTGGCTGCTGCGAGGAAATGATGAAAAAAATAATTTGGGTTTCTTTGGGGTTCTTTTTTGGCTTTTGGTTTTTTTTTTTGATTTTTGATTTTTGGCATTTTGGCATTTTGGCATTTCGGGATTTTTGGGATTTTAGGAGTTTGGCTTTTTGGGATTTCTTCGGCTTTTCTTTTTTTGTCTTCCCCCCTCGGCTTTTTGGATTTTTTTTTTGGATTTTTGGGTTTTGGGTTTTTTTTTCTTCTTTGAATTTTGGGATTTTTGCTTCCTCTCGTTTTGTTCTTCAATTTTTTGTTGTCTGCCTGGCTGCGAGGCGATGGTGAAAAAAAGAAGAGAAAGAAAACATTTGGGTTCTTTTTGGTTTTTCTAGCCTTTTGGCTTTTGGGGATACTGAGATGCGGGGGTTTCGGTTTCTTGTTGTTTGTTCTCTTATGTGTTTACCGGGGGTTCTTTGACTCATCTTCATTCGAGTTGCATCGCTCTTTAGTTCCTGTTGGCTCTTTTCTTGATCCTCGTTGGCTTTCTCTTGTTCGTGTTGGCTCTCTCAATTTTGGAGCTCGAGCTTGCTCGGATTGTGGGAGTAGAGGCTGCTTGACCTTTCGAGTCCTGGAGCTCTCATGATTTTACGTAAATTTACCTCTCACCTAATAAGTCGGTATGGAATATATTCATCAGAGTGATTGATTAAGCGTTTTTACGTAGATAGATAGCCCAGCCATAACGTTCAATCTCCAATCATTAGTGATAATTTACCAGGCTCGAGCAACTTAAATATGGGCTCGAGTTGGCCTAAGAGCTAGACGTGGAGCTCAATTTTCCAGCCCGCTTGGTTTGTGCCCATCACAGGGGGGGGGGGGGGGTGATACCAGAGTGATTTTTGGAAAAATGGTTACTTCTGAATACCCTTTCCCACTCTTCTTTAGTTTCACGGAAGGCTCTATCTGAAGTGTACTTGCTAACAATCTCACCCTATTTTTACTTCGAGACCCCGGGATATCGCGGGTAGATGCAGGTCTTTACAAATCAGAGAAGGCCGGCCTCGAAAAGTGAGCAGTAGATAGTAAAGATATCTTGGGGAAGTGTACATTCTTAACCATACACGGAAGCTGGCCCATATTATCAGCTAGCTAGTTCAAGTAACACGTAGACGGCTGTCAAACATTTTCTCATATTATGTATGTAGTTCTTACCTGCTTTCTACACCCGAACTCATGAGCTCCTCAAGTATTAGATCAATCCCATGATAATTCGGAGATATATGCCACGTGAATGGAGTCTTGAGCTGCTGTATCTCTGGGTGGCTTTCTGGGGGAAGACACGGCGGTGAGGTTGAGTATATTTAGTCTGTTCCAGTCTCGATCTGCAAAGTACCAACCGCGTTCTGGCTACACACAGCACTCCGAGTTCGCGGAACGTTGCACCTCACATGGAAGAGTATAGTGGGGAAGCAGCCGAGGGGAGCGGCATCCTAAGCTATTGGAGCTGGTATAGTCCTGGGATTCGCAAATATCAGCGGTAAAAAGCGAACGGATTTTGAATGGCTCTCCAGGTGATCGGGCTGTAGCGGGGTAAATAGCAAGTTCTGAGGCATGGAATAGGTGTCAGCGCTAATTCAGAATTGAAAGCCTACATATAGTGCTTAAATGAGGAAAACTAAAACAGATAGACTGGCATGGGGAGGAATAATGCATGTACCTACGCCTAGAGAGGATAAAGAGAATAAGGTCATGCCGTAATAAAACGACATTTGATGTAGTTAGCGTGATTGTGCCGTCCTGACTATTTTGAAGCTCTTTCATTGAGTTGTCATTGAAATTCTCTGTCTTTTTTTTTTCTTTCGAGGGAGAGAGAGATATGTTGTCGAGTGTGGTTGTCGTCCATGGCGCTAGTCCCAATGAAACTTGGCGCGAGTGACACGCTATGAGCCAAGGCGCAGGCAGAGAAGGGCGAGATGCAAGCAGGCCGGCAACAGAAAATATTTTATTTTCGTCTTGTCTGAGCTTCTCCTGAGTCCCATTACTTCGTTACCAATGGGTAAAGTATTTACATTTAGTCACATGTAGTACTCTTCAATATTTCAATATTTTTATTTGCGGGACGGTGGAGAAAAAGGCTGCAGGTTGATGTCTGTGTCTTGATATTGCTCCCCTCTTTGCTCTGATTCCGGGTTTGCATTGCTGTATGTAGAAGGAAGGGGAGTATGAGGCTCTTCATATCCCCACGAAGCCTCCCCATCCTCTCCTTATACCTCATAGGCCCTCCACCGACACAGGACTTACTGTCCACCGCGTACCTCATCATCCAACTAGTAGAATGTGTACAGGAGATAGCATAGGATATAGTTAGTAGAGCTCCCGCTGCCTATTTTGATGCTATGCGTTCCGGTAATGCGAGCATAATATGTATGTGTATGCACCAGTGGTATCTCGTATCAATTCAGGCGAGGAAGATAGCCGGCAGGATCGGTGCTGGCGTGGTTATTGATTTGTTTTGTTCGTTTCGCGGGGTAGCGGGGCCAATGGTCCAGGCGCGTATGATTCTTTCTTTTGCCAGAGTACCCTCTTCGTTTGCGCCTCTCCTCTGCGCTAGATAGGAAAAAGAGAAAAGGAGGAAGGAGATCACAAAGCTACACCACTTAATTCCGGGCTAGTGTGGTCCATGAGGCTACCCGAGGCGAATAGAGAAAAGTGCCTCGAGGTATCTCTATCTCGTGTAGTCCATGCCTTTGCTTGCCCGTCCAAAACAGGTGATGCCTCGAGGTATTCGAACTAGCTCGAGGCAGATAATTGCTATATTTGAATTCGTCAATGTCATATTTATTGCAATACTGGTATAAAAATGTAGGGAATACTTCCAATGTCCCTATCGGAAACATCAAACCCCCTAAACCATATGCCACTGATACATGATTACCTAAACCTTGGGCAGCTCGAGGTGAGTAAGAGAGTTTGCATCGAGTATTCTCGTCTCATTGACCCCATTCCTTGAACTTCCTCGAGGCGAGGCCTCGAGCGTCAATGCCTCGTGGGGCACACTACACTTCCCTCCGACGACGACATAAACTCATCCGCAAAGATCATGCACCTTTTATTTTCTGGGGAGAAAACTCGTATGTCCAGTGTCAATGACCCACCGAGTAGCGCGCCCTCACAGAGTAACTGAGCTATCCCTAAAACAAAGATTAGCAGAGCACATGGATAAGAAGACCATCACCCACGCCCTCAACGAAGGTTGTACGCTGTTTTTATTGCTTTACCGGCCTTCTATGTTGAAAATAGTATCCAAGTCCTAATTATTCAAGCTGGTCCTGGCAGTTCATTCAACCACTATCATGATATCCAATTGTCCGTGCTTTCAGTGCCCAAGTTCGGCTTCTACACTTCCGCACGCATCGGGCGATGACAGTAAGTCACCACCGCTGCCCCCCCCAACTCCTGCCAGCACACCTCGTCAGCGCCAGAATCGCCGACCAACCCAAATATGCTCGGATGCGCATGCGCACGCGCTGCGGGACGAGGTCGAGGTGAGGTGAGGTGAGGTGAGTCGTAGATATTCTTTTTCCCCAGCCATCTCGTCGGTTTCACTTGGTTTATTTGCCGAGTTATAGAGAGAGGAAAGAGGGAGTAATATTGGAGAGTGATTTAGGATTTGTGATTTTGTTGTCTTGGAGAGAAAGTTGTGTTATAGGGTGGTGGCCACGGATGATTCAGCGGGTAACAACATCGAGAATGCATCATGGGTTATCACTCGCGCCAAGAACAAGCCCACCCACATTGAGAACCTACTCCATACCAACATAAGTGAGCATGAGAACATGAATATTCTCCAGTGAGCGTTCCTACTGTCGTCTAAGCCGAAATTACGATCGAGAAAAGGTGACATTAGGCACGCACGTATAAAAAGGGATACCAAAGCAGACCCAGATATATCTCCCCTTAGACCTTCAGAGCTAGAGATGGGGGCTCTATATCTTCCTTACTCGTTATCATCAGTAACCAACTCAACCACCACTTCTACCCTCCATCCTCCGCCACCCACTCCCGAGGACGACAACTTCTATCTTACCCAATAACAGCCAGAAGCATTCGACCCCATAGAAGGGCAGAACGCCGCTACTATAGCGCATTCATATACAATGACCAGAAGCGATAAACCACCCATCTTCGCCTCCGCATCTTCTGTACGCCCACAAACCTATCCAGTATTGCGCGGAACCATGATTTTCGACTCGCCCTATCCTCCTATGCCACAGCGTGGAGACTCGGGCGCTCAGATGCCGCCGCCCGTCCATGCTGGCCAGCAGTATTCCCAATCGCGGTATGTGTACCTCTTCTTATCGTGCCGGCGGTCGTGAACTCATTCTGACAATGTGGGGCGACAGAACTCATGATAGGAGGGCCATGCCTCGCAGAGCTACTACTGGAGTAGTTCCTCCCCAGCCCCCTTCTTCACGACGAAATGCGAGCGGGCCCTTTGCTAGTGGCCGATATGAATGGAACAGAAGCTTAATGTTTTATGGCCAGCCGATAGATACTGCAGCTGCTCAAGCGAGTGCTGATGCCGAATTTGACGACTCGTCCGATGACGATCCTATCTCCGCTACAATTCTGGATAATGCCAGCGTTCCTATGTTCGTACCGTCGAGAGTGTCATCGCGGACACACACAGCGTCTGGCAGCAACCAATCCTTGTTCGAATATCCGTCTATATCCTCGTACACACCTCACCCAAGGCATCCGTCTTCTCCGAAGTATCAAGTTTATGGCAGCTCAGTCCCAGTACCTTCATCCCCTCGACACCTATTGGCAGGACCTTCATCACCACGCTATCAATTTACAGAGCCCTCATCTCACGAACACCCATGGCCAACGCTATCATCCTCTCCAAGTCCAGTGGAACTCCCGTCCCCTCAAAATTCATTCGTAGAGCAGGAGTCCCCGTGGAACGCACCTCAAAAAACCTCATCACCCCAGGATCCATTAATGAGGCGCTCATCTCACAGGCACCCATCACCGGAACCATCATCTCCTAGACATCAATATCATAAGCTCACATCTCCCAGCGCTTCCTTTGCGAGAAACTCCTCTCCTGAAAATTCCGCTACTACTTCCTCTAGCAGCTTACAGTTGCGGAAAGGGCTACAAGAATCCCCCTCCCGAGTCCCCCGCGAGTTCCCACAGGCCGCAACCGCCTTTGCCGCCGCCATCCAAGAAGCAGAACATCGTCTCCATAACAGTAGTTTGGAGGAGTCGAAGGAGAACACTGACCCTGACGGGGTGGCGCACTTCAAGAACTTGGAAGGCATGTTTGATGAAATAAAAAAGCTGAGCATATGTGCCGAGGACACTGGTAAAGGAACGATTTCCCGCTGGACATTTAATTCAAAGTTAGCTCGTCAGCGCCCCTCTATCCTCAAAGACCTTCCTTCCTCGGTCGCTCCAGAGAAGGGCAAAGGGAAGGGCAAAGACACTTCTCCTACCCTTGGTACGTTTGCAAGGTCGAGAAAGGTCTCAATGTCCGCCGAGAAGCCCAAGACAAGGTCAAGAAAGGGCTCAGTGTCCGCCGAGCAGCCTAAGAAGAGGAATGTAAGTGGCCTGTGGAAGAGAGGCAGCGATTCTTCTACAAAACCGGCTTTCACGAAACCCGCTGAGAACAGATTCTCCCTCGATGAGGAGGTGAATAGACCCAATATGGGAGACTTTGCCATGGTAGATTTCGTATGGTCATTGAAGTCGAGCTGCCCAGTCACGAAGAATATAACGCAGTATGGTGAGTGGGAAAGGATGGTCGGGGAGGATGGCAGGAGCGATGAATTTTCGCTTCTAAATCCACCCCAATAGATTCCTCGTCTTGTAAAGATTTAGAGGGGGAAGTTGGCTGTGTATCTATTAGTGAGGCTGTGGAGAATCCCTGTCAAATATGGGTCGACAATATAACTCGAGAGAGCTTACAGGGTTATTATCTCCCGTATTCTTTATCCTGTGTCTGGCCTTTTCTTCCTGTACGTAGTAAGCACTCAAACCAATCAGAATCTTTGAGGCAGCTATAAAGCGATCAGTTGATTCTTTTCGCCATATTCTTCAGGAACCTTAGATTTTTCGAAGCTGAGCCGTGTTTCCGGAGGTGTAAGTCTTATGAGACTGTGGACTGCTCAGATATCGAACATTTATGTAGAAAATATAGTCTTGAACTGTAGAGATAAAAAAATCTGAGATACCAAGAATAGCCAATTCGAGGGTGGGGGGAGGTGGTCTCGGAACCGGGAATTACCCTATACTCAACCTACCGGTACCGTCCTCCTTGCATTATTTATGTAGTCAGACCAGCATGCAACATGGCAACACGATTCGATACATAAATATCTTACATTCCCTCCGGACTACATTCGTCCTCCAAAAATTAACGGAACAGAAACCAAATGTCTAATTATCACGACCCGTTTGCCCTCTCCTCTCATCAGCGTATCGGGGGCTCTGGGCCATGCAGATAATAGCAATAGTCGCTGTGAAGGGCTTTGGAAGAGCTAGTTAGTCCAGCAGGCGAATAATGGTTTATTCAGCTTGGGATATCTATCTCTGCGCCTCTCTTCACGTGCGCGTTAGGCATGCTTCCTCTTTAGATAATTCTATCAACGAAACTAAAGACCTAAATCTAGTACTTGGATGGTAGAGTCAGTTTTAGGTCTGTTTTTATTTTTATTTTTTGTCCTCCTACAACTCAAGTCACTGGCCATGGAAACATTTACTTTATATGACTGCTTCTACAAGACAACAGTCGTGACTAACGCCTATCATTATAGATAGAACAGCCTTTCCACCCAGTTTATAAGAAAATAACGCCAGAGATATAATATAACCAAGGATATAAAAGTCTATTCAAAACCACAAACTGCAGAGTACATCAACTAGGAAACATCTTATCCAATAATATCATCCAAAATCTAAAGGTCCGACGAAAAACCGTCCTATATACCGAACAAAGTAATTAGCATTCCCACATGGCTCTCGAAATTTATCAGAACTAGACCTACCATTCATTCCAAGCGCTCTCCCACTAACCTCACGTCCTTATGGGTGCAGTATCCAGTACGCCGTGAGCGCCAATGCCGCAATTCTATCTTCAACACTCTCATCCTCCAGAACCTTGATCAGAAACCCCCGCATCTTCATATCCTTTTCTGTCGCCCTCCTCTCCAACGCCACCAACAGGGTAACCGCCATCGATATTGAATACCGCATCAGGTACTGCGCACTTGCTGCCAGGAATTCATGGTGCTGACGTGTGATACCTCTACAGTGTCTTGGTAGCTGGGGAGACTCTCGAAGGTAGAAAGGGCAGAGATCCGTATGGTATCGGGAGCTCATCTTCCGGAAGAGTTTCTGGGAGCGCAGGAGGTAATCAGTTGAAGTTTCAAGAGAATTTCGGAGCTCACGGGGGTTCAAGGTCGTAGGAGTGGGACGTCTGTTTGGGTTGTTAAGCTCGGTATTGATATATCCGAGCATAGGCCTAGGAAGAGCTTGGGAGTTTGATATGGACATATGCTGAGGAATAAACTTGTAAGAGATTGAAGAGCTTATGTACAACTCGAGCGATGGGCCGATATTTAATTAATTTGAGAGATGAAATAACTGGGTATAAGAAATATCGGCTAAGAGGTGGGAAGTATGTAATCTGTGGACGCACAAGTGTTACGCAGGGTCATGAATATATATGCTGTACCTAAGACACTTTTTAAAATACTATTCATACTAGGTATCACGTTCCATATGGTAGTTTTGTAGTATATAGAATATAACATCATCGTTTATGAACTGTTTTACAAAGCCCCATAGTATTCATTTTTGATATAAGCTTCGGGATTTGGATACTAATTTTCGGAACACCACGAGCAATGTGGTACTAAGCTTTCTACTTTACTCAGCTTCCTTTTAAATTTATATTCAATGGTTACAGGAGCAAACAGAATTCCAGAATTCTTTTCCAACGGGCTCTAGTTCTGAAACCCTCCTATAGTGTTTGTCGTTACTTAATACCACCCGAGAAAGCTAACACTAAAATTCAAATACACTCTTGCTATTGTGTTTTATATCACGGCAGAAAATGTGATCAAAAATCCCCCGCGTGTTAATTTAAGTTGGTGTTTTTTGAAAGGTACACGGTATAATGCTACACAAAATGATGCAGAAAGCCTCAGCTGTACACGATACAAGAGGTTACAAGACAAAAATTGCGAGTGTACGTATTTCTTCTTATCAACAATTCTTCCCAATCAATGCATTTATAATAGTAGCAAACCGATGAAATTCTAGCTTTGCGAATGATATTACTTTAAAAACTTAATTAGCTGAGGTTTTGACCAGCGAGCAAGGCAATTTACTTTAGAATATTCTCTTCGCGAACGTAAAGGTTGAGATTCAACCACCTCTTTTGTGGGTAAATCCACGCAAATCTCCACCTCAAGTTTTGAAATTTCCCATCTACACCACAATTCTACGTTAGCAACTTTGAATGAGATTGAAGAACAAAGACTAAGCATGGGATACTCACAACAATCACCATGAGATACCTGAAATGTAAATCCTTATTTTGCAGGGGACTCTTTGTGCATCATAGCTCTATAGCTCTTATTCAACTCGTCTTGCCAACGCTCACTCTTCGTCTTGTTCTCCTTCCCCATAATCATGTTTCCCGACCTTACAACTGCCTTTTTGGTCGATTTGGCAGCATCATACAACTTCTTGTCGATGCGGGCAAAGAAGTAGATTGCATCTTGCTTGCGAGTATCATTTCTGAGGTTATGGTCATTAAGATTGACCATAGATCTATTGCGGAGGATCCCGAGGTTTCTGACGCCATCTTTGGACTTCTTACAGCCGTTATGGATTACGGTGGTGGCTTTGGTGATAAAAGACTGAATGTAGTCATTGACATTCTTGGGTCTGTAGATACAATGTCAGCCAGTATTCATAGCATGCATCTATCAATGTCATCACATACGGTTCAGGAGTAAACTCGCTAGCCACCTCCTGGCCTTCATCCAACCAAGCCTGAAGATCACTTCTTCCCTCATCTGTTTTCAGATGTTCTCTGATCAGTCTCTCCAGATTGGCCGGCCTAGTTGGGCTAGTAGTATCTTCGACCGTCAAGTGGGGCAGCGAAACGGAAGAGATATTGGTGGAACGAGACTGGGATCTAGAGAAGTATTCATTTGTATCACAATGAGACGGAGGGTTGGATTCTCCGTTCGTCTCGAAGGATGGACGTAGAGAGGTTGAGGGGCCAGAGTATGCACTGGATGCATAGTTTGGCTGATAACAGTAAGGTGTTCTCGTATAGGCCATTAGGATAGCAACAGCGAGTCAAGATCGTCTGCCTCCTGTGGTTTTAAGTGTTCTTTTCAGGGTACTGAATGGGGGAAGGTCAAACACCTCAGATCGTAATAGACGCTGATCTATTACAGGTAACAAATGCAAGATCCTTAAAGAAAGTTGTGGGGTTGAAGTGAAGAATAAGTGTGTGTGAAGTAATATTAACAGGGGATACAGCAGATTTCCCTGAGATAACGGGTTCCTAGCAGAATAGATGACGGTGGAGTCGGTTGCGAGAGGTACTGACGGAAGTGTATGTAAGAGAGATCACCCAAACGTTTTAGTGCCCCCCTATCGCCTCTCAGGACTTGCTCCACTCCCCAAATCAGGCCGTTAACGTCGTATCTAATCTTGATCCGTCGTCATCACAGCAACGATTCGTGCAAGTTTAATCTTTATCAATCTTGCTACCAATTTATTTTACACCCCCTCCCAAAACCCCTTTCCTTATACAAAAGTATTCTACCTTTCATGCTCTGGCGCAACATTGACCCGGAAGGTATATTGCCGCATAAAATCGAGATAAAGGTGCCACCTTTAGGGATATTTTATGAGTGAGTTCATGTCAACTGGGCATGAGACGGGACCAGTCTTACCGATTGAGCCTATAGCTCTATCAGCAAGGTTTGAACTTACAAGAAGGCGCACAGTAACATGGCCATTATGTGTACCAACGATAAGTCACAGAGCAGTACTATATCCTTTCCGCATCACATATAACAATGCAATTCCCCGTAACAAGGAGATATCATTGGTTTATCTACAATATCAAAAAAAATACTGCTATTTCGTTAGCAAAGGTTCAAAGCAATGACTCATCCTCCTCTTCCTCTTCATAGAAATGTAGCTAAGGGCTTTCATTGGCTAATTCTCGCTGCAAACATTGGGCCTATCATCATGATCAGGTACTTTGGCTTATCCTTGATATATAATTTGAATCCTCAACATATTATGATCAATATTAAATTCCAAAATTCAACCAATCACATATAGGAGCAAGGTTTGCACATCTACAAACTTCTATCACTCCAAACCTAAGCTAATTGGTAACTCAGGCATCTAATCACGAGTAAGTAGGTCAGGCCACCCTCTATCCAGCATCTCCTTCGCACGGCAAGTTAATAGAAAGGTTATTCAAGTTTGACGATTGAATGGTTTGAAGCAAATATTAGTTACAGAACAATATTTGCACCCAACTCTTTCCCCCCTCCCCCAATTTTATCATGGCATTGATCCAAAGTTGTCGAATATTGTTCTATACGGAGTATATTTGTAGACGGTTGTGTATGCAGAACTATACGGATACGGGAGGAGACGTTGAAATCATGAGGTATACCCTGCCCAAGTAAGTTAGATCCCGCGCCCTCCATGACCTAGTAATACAGAAATTGAGATAAGTCCTCACATCGTTGACCTAAATATTAAGATGATAGCAGTAGTAAATATAAGGGTTGAAGGTTTCTCTAATGTACGCGGGTCCAACCCACACTACCTAGTAGACAAACTAGACACCCTACAAAAGCGATCGTTAATAATTTCCAACACCTTTGATATTTAATTCATCACAGATAAATACTCTTTCTCAAATATCGTTTCGTCCAGTTAGGTCCGTTGAGTCTTTTTCATCTATACACCTCTTTAAATCCATATACTTGGCTATTAACGAGAGCATCTAGCTTTATGATTGCATTGGGTGTGGTTCCACTGTCGAACTGCATATCGTTGTCCACCAAGCTTACCAAGCCATCCTAGAAACCCAATCTTAGGCAAACTTGAAGCTACAGAAAAAAGCATGACACTTAACTTGTGTAGGCGACCGCCCGGATTCTCAATCTGTTGAGAGGCTCTATCCAAGAAACCAGAAAGTGTGTGAACATGCCCTAAAAACTGAAAAAAAGATGAAACGGCTTGAAGGTTAATACAGTGAGGCAAGTCATACTAGAGCTTTAGCTAAATGAGGCACTGGATGGAGTTCCGCATCTATTGTTAAAATCTCGACAAGAAAAATAATGCAATTAATGAATTAAACAAAAAACAAGAAAAATAGGCAAGTAACGTGACTCAATCACGGACCATCACTCGGTTGCACACTTACAAAGACGTAAAACACTATATAACTTCCAAGTATAGGCCCCCGGAACCCGATCGACGAAGCCCAACACCGAGTTACCTGCTAATTTATCATAATATATGGTAGCGTATTATTCCGTAGCCTATAGACGTGTAAATTTAGCCGAAGAGCCGAAGCGTCACATCATGGATTGAAATCAATAAAAGTATTACGAAGACGTGCGATAAATAGCGAATAAACGGGGGGGAAGCCATCAGAAACAGCGGGGTGGACTTTAGGGATAGGGGAAACGCCATAATGGGGCAGCTCCTTCCTTCAGATATTCAAAATTTGGTTTACTCTCTCACGATCATTATTATTAGAGATAACCGGGGCAAACTGGACTAGGGAAACCCCCTGACTAATATAAATAATACAAAAACTTATAATCCCAAGAGACCCAGGACTAGGTTTGATTTAACTTAGTTTCGAGTCTCAGTCCCGTTACCCCAAAACGACTGACTGTGCGAGACCAGCCCAAACCTTACAGTAACAAACAAATACCGTGGATACTAGCGACAGGTGACAGAAACATACTGTTTGAAGGATGGTAGAGCTGGATATATTAATCTAACTGTTAAGTCTATAAATCTTCGGGTAAGTCTCTTCTGGGACCGCGGAGTGTGAAACTAAGTCTCACTAGGAATGACGTCACCGGGTGATATTCTATGATTCTACAATCTTTCGAGTGATCTTTCGTGATTGATTTTCCGAGCCGTCTTTCTCATCCAGGAAGACTATCCTAGATGAAACCATTGATAGTGGGACTTATAAACCAATAATTTGGAGCGGGAGAGCTTACTTTCTCATGCCATGAAAAACCTTGCTTCTCTTACCTCCGCCAATGGATTGTGGCGTATCCATTTTGCTGCTCTCAGATTCACAGCTACCATTCGTCCCCAAGGCTGTGTTAAAAATAGAAGAAACTGCAAGAGACTTTTTACAAAAAATAAGAATTCCAATCAAAACTATTCGTATGTAAATATGAAATTAAGGCAAGCCCTATAAGTTCTTGTCATATACCCTCGAGGCTGTGGCTTGACACGTTTGGGAACAAGGTTGACCCATGGTCACATTCTGAAATCTACTTACTCCACACACCACTTTTACTTCGACTATTACCTCTGTCCGTTATCAGATATGAATTGAACGCCGTTACCCCGTGGGTATGACTCCTCACCTACTCCAGGCGGCGATCCCGATTCCAACATAAGAGAGAGCAGATCATATCCATTCTATTCCCTTGCCTGCAGGAGCCGGTTGAACACGTGTTCCAGCGACCTAGGAAAGACTGGCCGTCAATAGCCGATATATAAACGGATCGCATAACCAAAAGGCAGTTTTCAACCAACCAGAGATCCATAAATTAGGCTTAAGCTGTCGCAGATACCATTATTAGCCCCTGTTTGGCTATGTTCTCCAATTGGCTGTATCTTATCTCATGGGCGGGGCCATTTTCCCACCTTCAGATTCAACTTCAAAAGAGGTGTTCAGTTATGAAGTGAATGGGTGGAGACAAAACGGAGGGGGGGTGCCTGGTTTCCGAGGAGCTCGGCTGCAATAATTTTCATACCTTCCCCTCGAGGATACCCCAAAAACTCAAGCCACAGGAATAGACAACTACCTAACCTAAATGACTAAAACTTAGCAATGCCGATTTCCCTTTTTACTATTTATGAACGTTTCAGTTCATGAAAGGAAAATGGGCTGCAGAATCGATGAATAAGCGTTTTTGGAGAGATAACCATTACGAAATATCTAATGGATGTCTTATCCTGAAAGGTGTTATTTATATATTATATGAATATGACAGGGGGTATACATATCTTTGGAGTCAAGCCGTATGTAAAAAATGGATGCAGCCAAGACTTGGGCACTGGGAATTTTTCCGTACGATCAGCCTGAGATGCAATCCGATCTCAGTAGAGAGAAAAGGCCTAATAAGGCGGTCTCGAGGGCAAGTTAACACGAGACATGGTTGAATAGAGCAGGTATAACATTGAAACCAGGAATGGATCAGAACCCAGAACCCGGAGAGTTTGTTGGCCGGGCTCAGGGAAATATCCGACTACCCGGGGCTGAGCTGCTCTACTCCTCTCACTGGATGACTCCAGTACTGCATTTCTATTTCTCCATTAGTTAATATCTCATATACTAGATATTATCTGCCGCATGTGAAACGAGGCCGGTCGAAAAAAATGGTTAGGAAGAATTCGAAACCTCGGCGATTAAAAGCTTTACCTGTCTTCCGGTCCGGTACATTCTCATATATCCACACCCAGAGGACCCTCTCGGGCTTTAGTTGTGCACTTCATGGCCGCCTATCTCCTCTTTCTCAATCCTTTTTTTTAAGGCAGTAAATATCAACATTACACTCTCCTACGCCCTGACCCAAATATCGCTTTTTATCTGTGCACGACGGAACCACCGCCGATATCTCATGCAACACACCATGTCCCTCTACATCTTACTTGCGTTTAATTAAACGCTCGCAGGTACTGCTAGACAACATTCTTTTGCATTTATACCGTAGGTGTGAGTAAAAACCCGCACTGTGTAAAGGATTTCAAATTCGAAAGTCATAGATACCATGCGGGGCAGCAAAAGCAAACCCCTGGGTTACTACCTTCCGGTTAACCGATAGACTCTAAGCTCAGAATTAATTCTTGATAGCGTTTGGAATAGGTTCTATCCCGACGCACCCACCCGAAGCAGTACTAATACTCAAGTTAGCTATCAACGTACGTCCTCTTTGAAAATGACTTTGCTTAAACGTCTCCTGTCCTGGCCTTTTCGTTCTTCCCCGAAGGGACAACATATCCACATATCACCAAATCTCAGTTATGCGGGGGTGCTATCTTCA